TTCAACAAAATCACGGGCAATCAGTCTCTCTCTGTTCTCGACTCTGCGTCAGCACGAGGCCACGTCTTAATTATCCGGATAGTATTTCTCATCCAGGTTCCTCTCCTCTTTTTTTCTCATCTTCTCTCCACCACCTCACCTCTGCTTCGTTCCTTCCTTCCCGCCCCCCTCAGGTGGTCTTTTTTAACAGAACTAAATTATTCATGAAGACAATTCTCCACCCAGAGACAAAAGTCAGAGGATATTTGGACAGATCGAAATGAATAAGTAAAAGGTTTGAAATGTTAGTCTTCGTGTCTATTCCCATTAGAGCCATGTTTTGTCCAAGGTTGTGAGACTGTGTCTCTACGTGCACCATGACATTATTTGTTGGCCTGCATATTCCCATGTAGAATTTTAGTTTATCTATCGGGAAAACACCTCCACTGAGCTGAAAATCAGAGCTGGTGATCGTGGTGGATGGAGATAATGGAACCTCGCAAAAGGGGCCATGCCAAACAGACTGGGGCTCTGCCAGGTACAGGCGGGCAAATGGAGAAGCAAGACAGATCTAGGCTAAGGGAGGAGAAGCAAAGATGGATGGAAATAAATTAGGCAGAGGTTAAACTGTCAGGGAGTGTGTCTAACAAAGATTCAATTAATCAATAACTTGTGGACAATGGTGTTGGTTCACTGTGCGAATTCGGCTTTAATAAGACAATTCTAACTGAAGCGTCCATCCTTTCATATTATTCAAGATCTTTTGAATAGAAAAATGTATGTAGGCCTAGAACTCTTATCTCCATTGCTGGAATTTGGTTATAAATCAAATGTCATGACAATATGTTATTTTTAATAGGTAAAGTATCTGACTCATATTCAATTCAACAGGGGAAAGTCTACATTTTCCTAGCTAAAATACCAAGTGTCACCCTTTAAAAATCACTGCAGATCACTGAAATAATGATGGCTAATGTACCGATAACAGCAAAGCTTCTTTCTGAAAATTAGGGCTAAGAGATGCTTTTTTTAAAGCTATCATACATTTTCAGATAAATATATCGTAGTACGACGAACCTGTAGGATTTAAATGTGTCATTTATGTTTTAATATTACCAAACATAAAATTACAACGTAGGGATAAAATACACCACTTGTAACTGACAAACACAGACGACTTTGCAGTTTTTAACTGCTCCATGAAGTTATTAATGGATTTCAACTCACTGTTTTGAGTTTCCAGCACACAAAATATTGCTTTTTTAAAAATTCACTTTCATGCGTTAGAGCAGAAATCCAAAACATAAATCACAGAGAGGCTGAACGCTGGTGCCTTTGAGAAAGTGAAAATTACAGACTGTAGCTTCTGTAGAAAACTGCAATAAACAAGAAATTCCTGTGTATTGACTAAAGTTTGCCAACATTTAATCTAAGAGCAGAGCTTGAAAAGCATGCTGCAGTCATTTCTACTTTGCCACCAGGTAGCATTCTCAAAAATATTATTTTCGTAAATGTGTTTCATCTTTATTTGCTCATTGATCCTGTCATGCAAACATCCAAGGTTTTCTCAAAGACCATTTGTAAATACATTTCAAATAAAATAAAAGGAAGAAAAATGATGTGAGAGGACTTTGACTACATACATTCTGTGTAGTATAAATGCTGCGGATAATTAAAATCCCAAATTTGAAAAGAGAATTAAAGCATGCACATTGAGAAAGCTTTACTGCAGATAGATTGAGCTGTATGATATGATATAGTCACAGAGAGAACATAAATAAACAAGAAATGAAATCAAAGTGCAGATGTAAACAGGAAAAACTGAAAATAGAATTTTTTACAAATCAAGCACAATAAGGAATTTGGCAGCATTAAAGGCAAATATCTAGCTCAGGAGTGGAAAGTGGTACATCCTGATGAATTATGATGCAGGGATGTTGGTCTTTGTCAGCAGGATGCACAATTTAGAAAAATGGGCAACTATTTTCTGATTAATTATAACCACATTCAAATGCTTCATAAATATTTAATAGCAAATTATACCCACACTAAAGTCAAATCTACAATTTATACAGAGCTCTGAGTTCAACTTGTGCAGATCAAATATCACAGTTTTCTGTCCTTTGTATTATCTTCTTTACCATTTCACAAAGTTGTTGAAAGTTTAACGACTGTGGAATGAATGAATGTTCAGTCATTAACCATCTTCAAGTATTACCACAACATACCTGAAGATGGAACATTTTGTAAAAGAGATAGTATGACAGCATTATGATTCAGGCAAATTTGAAGGAGACTATGTTAACCCAGTTTCATCTTTCAGGCAATAAGCCTTTTGTTACAACCATAATCTAAGACTTAAAACTTGCAATGTGGTTTAAAGTGTTGGATTTCTGTAATCTTAATATCATACCTGAGAATTGATTTGCTGTGTTTATAATCAGCTAATTATTGTTGCCGGAAAGGTGAGGACTGTTCACACCTGTTCTCTCAGGAGGCGGATTCCCAGGAAAGCAGACTGACAAAGGCTGTAACACACGCTGAAGAAAGGTGACAGCATGTTGTGACACTATTTGAACCCAAGAAGTAATTATTTTTACAGACTTAACCATCCAGCTGCCTGTAAATACCAAGTTTAGTTTCCTATAAGGTATCTAGCCTTTGTACTCAGAATTCTGTCTAAAGAAATAAAATAAAAGCTAACAGAGAATAAGTGGAGAATGGTTTCTGCCCATTTTATAAACAGTGTCCTGTACTCATGGCAGTTAACACAAAATATTCCCAGTCACCATGGTAACCCAAAGGCCATTTGTAATGCTTCCACAATGGGATCCGCATGTAGCCGTGCTCCTTTATTGTTCTCCATCTCTTACTATTGATCCAGCACTTGGTTACTTACCTGAGGTTTGGGGTAGGGTCTGGGCTTGTGTAGTTTCCATTCAACCACGTCTGCTGGTTGTGCTGCGACCACACTGTCATTAAGTGTGGCCGTGATAAGGACCCGTGTAGAGAGAACTCCTCAATAAAGCTGGATGAGGAACAGACTTGATAGCTTTAACAATCATGAAGCACCGGAACACCGAAAAAAACACAAAGTGTACAACAAAAACTGGCAAACGGACAGCAGTTTGGCAATTAACAACAGAGCCTTGGTTGAATGTTTACTGAGAGAACTAATAAAAAGTAATAAAGAGGTGTGAAAATTAGACACAGAGACTGTGCAAGACAGGTGGAGATAAGCAGAACAAAACACAGCTGTGTTCAATAAATCAGGAATTAAACTTATCTAGACTACAGAGCAAAAGCAAAAGCAAATTAAATACTAAATCCGGACATAGAGCTATGAAAAAACAAACGGATGTAAAAGACTAACCCAAAAGGGGAGATTAAAGAACATGATGTCATTTCAAGAAACCATAAAATAATGAAAGCCACAGACCGTGACACCTTGAGGAATGCCACTAGGTAAGAGTTCAAGTCATTACCAACCTTACAGCAGTCTCATTTTGTCTTACTGATAAAGTCTGAAATCCACTGTGTTCTCTTCATTAATCCCACAGCTCACAGAAAGCAGAAAGGACAACACAAGAGTGGATGTGTGTGTGTGTGTGTGTGTGTGTGCGTGTGTGTGTGTGTGTGTGAGATGGAAACACCCTCTTAGTGAGCTGCTCAGCGTTAACACACGCTCCCAAACTCATCCATGCATCCAGATACCAATTAAGTCATTCAGTTTTCATTGTCTCTTTCAATTGATTAATCCACTGAAGATGGATTTTGTGTCGTTTGTTAATGCATTAGTTAATTATTTTTGTATTCATTCTGTTTATTTTTTCATTAAGTCTGATTACTCGCTCAGGAACAAACCATGGGTGTGGTTGTTGCTGATGAGGGCCAGGTGAGAGAATCAGTTTAGTTGTCCCAAAATAGGTGTGGGTGTGTGTGTTTTTCTATTTTTCTCGTTGCTTTATTATTATTTTTTGTTTTTTAATGATTTGATAAAATTATCTCGATGTGGTTTAAATGGGCATATTTGTTTTGGTGACAGTGTGTAAAATTCTGATTCTTTGTTAGTTTTACAAATGTATTAAATAGGATCCATAAATGTAGACACGGGCTTTGGTTGTATCAAATTGTTCTCACCGAGTTGTATTTCTTTCAAGCTGGCTGTGGGCTGTGAGGAACACCTTGATACTGTAATTGTAATACATGAGTAAGGAGTAAAAGACAAATCCCATCTTACACTTTTTATTCAGTGCTTCTCCTTGAGCTGCACATTGACGGCTGCTGCTTTCCCCCACTGACAAAGATGTGCTCCCCCACTTCAACAGGATCCAAGGCTTTGCTCATAAAGCAGCAACATTTTTGCAGGACACTGGGGGAATTTTCATAGATTTCTTTATTTTGCCTCTTGCAAGGTAAGAGGCATTATCCATCTTGCTTAATTTTATGGACGACAGTTTATGTTGCTTAAAGTGCTACAGATAACATAGGTACAAGACCCCAACATGATCATTTGGTGCATTGTTTAGTTTTTGGACAGCTGGGTGTTACTGAATACATTTACTGCTTTTGATTGCAAAAAGGGCACTGTAATGAACAGAAGACACTGATGTTGACATATTTTGAAGAGGGAGCTTTTAACAGTTGTGGGAAATGCGAGTGGTACAGAAGCATCAAGTGCGCTGTGCTGCTTCCTGTTTTATGGTGGTGGACTGACATTTTACTGAAAGCCAATAAAATTAACGACTTTTTACCATGGGGCATAGTCTAAGTGTTGTTCTGAGCATGGTTGAAGTGATGTAGATGGCTGACTCAGAGCAGTAAAAAGTGTATGACATCACTTCCTGAAGCCAGTGGGAATGAGCTGTTTAGGTTTCAGCAGTTATCAAAGATGGAACGAACCATTGGAGTTGATACTACAATCATTTGATCTCTTTGGGGCAAGGATTTTAGAAACATTATTTACATAAGCTGCTTTATGTTGTGATCTGAATCAGGTCATGTTGTCTTATGACTGGTCGCAGCTTTGATGGTAGGGGTCTCAATAGAAGTTGCTGTGTAAACCACCATGCACATAAATTGCAACATAAACACAAATATGAATTTTCCTGTTTGACAACACAAAAGTGAAAAAAGTTAAGGTTCACAGTAAAGTTTATTTGAACAAACAATCATGCTGACTGAACACGTCCACAATCACATCACAAACCCAAAATATCTCTGTCAGGACTGCCATCACATCTCCACATCGGAGGCAAATTCAGTTCATGACCTGTATGTTTTTTTTTCCACCTCTGTTTCTACAGTCACCACTTGATGAATGAGTGGAATGAAACAGAACTGGTTAAGAATGGGTTAATTTCTGGCCTCTGTCCTTCTATCAACATCTCTTGACTCTGATCAGTTTTTTTAAAGTCGCTCTAATTCAAACAGACAGTACTCCTAATTTCTGATGTAAATGAAAATTGTGTTTGTGTGTCGGAAGCTGCGGTGTCCTTTCATATGAAGATTTAACACTTCTTATTTTACGTTTTAGCCATCGCTCCGGATGACGTGAAACAGTGTTACGTTGTAGAGCACCTGGTGACCATTGTTCCAGGTGTACAATGCTCTTTCTCTGGGGTTGTAGTCCATCATGCTTATGTGGGAATACTGGTTGTGGAAGGGAATATCAGTGTACTCGTACGTGGAGGTGTTTGTGTGATAGGCAAAGTGGACTTTGGCCCCGGCCAGGTGGGAGTTGGTGACGTACAGGGTGCCGCAGATCATGAAGGCTTCTCCGGCACTGCGCTTAGGAAAGCCTGTGTCCCAGCTCTGGAGGACGACCAGTGAGTGAGGGTCCAGACGGCTCACCTGGAGGCAGAGGAGACTGGTTCACACGGTTTCAAATAAACCACCAAAAACCTACACGAGGCTGCGAATATCTATGGGGGGGTTTCTGGTTTCTAGACCCTCTCAGTGATAAGCAGGAACTCAAAACACACCATCTAATAAAATGTTGCCTTTAAAAAATAAAAAATAACTGCAATTGTCTGCAATTGAAAGGAAACATTTGAAAATGTTTGTAATTATGTATATATTATCTATTAAAGATTATGGTATGGTGAGTATATTATTTTAACTGTTGTGGAGAACATCTTTCTTTTACAGTGGGGTTTAATTTTTATCCCCAACAACGCAATAAAAGGTACCATGGAAAAACACAGTTTAAAAATGTCCTGATAAGGATGTGAGAAGACAGCAGCAGGCCACACCATTATGTTTCCTGCATTTGGGATGGAAGTGTAGACGGCCCAGAGTCCTGTCTCATCAGCCATAAGGTCGATGTCGGAGGACCCTCCCCAGCTATAGGGGAAGGTGTTGTTGTATCCAGCTCCGCTGAGGCTCCGCTGCAGCAACACACTGCGAGAACGGAAATGGTACTGAACCTTGAAAGACAAAGACACGCACACGCGTACAGTAACTCAGCATTGTTACTCAATCTTAAAAGTGCAAAGCCCTTTCTGACATTTACTGTTTTCCATTAATCTGATTGGAGCTGTCCACGTCTAAATCATCTGATTGGCCACACTGGTGCCCTTTTGGAACAGATTTTGATGACAGTCTGATTAGATCGGTGTGAGTCACATTAATCACTGTCAACTCAGCACAATCTGAACTTTCTATTTTGTATACTGTTAATTGAATTAATATCAGTCATTCATTCATTTTTCTGTAAGGACATATTGGTGATATAATGCGGGTTTGAATGAGCAAAAACATCTTGGTGATATTTTAGGATGAAATTTTGTTTTTAGTGAGTAATGGGATTAAACTCTCTAATGTGTAAAACAGAATATTGAATTTTCAACTCATATAAATACAGTAATTGGTTTGTAGTATGATTTATCACAAGGTAAATATAAGGTATATGGAGTCATGTGAAATAATGCTCTGCAAGCAAACCATGTCACCCAGATGAGGTCATCTATAAGCTTACAGGTAAGATTTTGTATTATACTCTTGATGTGTGGTGTTATGCATAATCTGACTGAATGACACCCCATAGATGAATTATTATGGTTAATTTATATGGATGAAAAAATGAAAAATTGCAAGAGCAATCTTTGTCTGAAAATTTTAATTAATGTCTGAAAATGCCTTGCGTGATCTGATTCCACTCTCCTACCACGATGTTGCTTTGGTGCTTGTTGTAATAGAGGGACCCATTGTAGACAACATGGCCGGTTCCAGCCCAGGGATGGGGCAGCAGATGCTGCACGAAGTTCTGACCTTTGGTGAAATCCCCCATGGTCCTGTACTCCAACACACGCCTGCCCTTATAATACCCATCCATGGACCACACCTGATGGAGGGAAGAGATTAGTTATGTCTCATTTAGCTTCTTCTCTGGGCCAGTGAAATTAACTCCCACCTAGCAACTATATGAATTTCATTTGCAGAATAATCCATCATAGTGACTCCTGATCACCAGCAACTTGATTAGATGATCACATGATGTGCACTCAGACTCTGTCTCTGTCTTTATTCCAAGCTAATTGTGGGTACAACAGCTCAAGGACAAACAGTGGCCATGTTAACGGCAGGTGATTTGCAAAAGACACAGGAGCTCAGTGTGCAGAGGTTAAGAGGACTTTTACAGCTTTGTCAAGAACAAGGAAAGCATATCTAGAGAAAGATACTTTCAAGATAGCTCTGCTGTGACACAACTGCATGCAAATGGCAAATTGGCAAATTGTCATTGTCAAATGGGCTTCACTTTGGAAAATAGCATTAATTCAGTGTGGTAAAACTAATGGTTGCCGAGAACAAATGAGGGACTCTTTTTGTTTATATCTGTCTGCTATGCATTTGCCAGGAATTTTCCCGATGTTCTGCCCCAGCTAATGAAGATCCCATCATAATCTTTTGCTCCTTCTCCTATGTATTTTAATGATATGAGGATTAGGCTGAATGAGAACTTATCTTATCTTCAAAATGGTGATTAATGCTTTTGAGGTGTTGATACCAGTGACGGCAATTTATTATATGAAACTCTGGGCTCTGCAAATTTTTACAGCTCCTCACTTTCTTTGAGATAACAAGTGATGAATTCTTATTTCTTCCATCTATGGAGAATTGTTGCCTGTTACCTCTAACCTCCTCAATTAGGCTGACCAAATTTATGGAACTGTGAAACTAAGATGAAAAGTAAAACCAGATAATCTAAAAGAAATGAGAGAGGGTGTAAGTATATGACCAAGAAGCAAAGAGAATGAGGGGGAAGAGATCAGGAGAGAAACAAATGAACAGTGAGCAAGAGGAGAGGATGGTGATGAAGAAACAAGATGGGATAAAAATTGAGTGTAGGCAGCGTGGAGGATTAATTACCCAGAGAGGGACAGGAGGTGAAACAGATTAAAGGAAAGAGCAGGGAGCATGAAGGAAGAAAACCTTTGTTGATGAAAATGATGCTCGTTATTCTGCCTGCAAGCAAAGGGAGAAAAGTACTGAGGGCAAAAAAGAGTGTGTAGCTAGATTTCATACGAAAAATAGTCTCTCCTGTAGACCCAGCATTTAGGAAATTACGGTTAAAAAATAACTGGGTTAGAGTCATTCAGACAAAGGTTAATGATTGCAGTTAGTTTAGGGCCTATTTGTTTGGCTTGCAAAGACAATGAAAGCACTGATTGCTTTAACTCAGAGATTTTACTCACGGCGCACTCTCCTCACCTCTAAATTCTGATGAAGGTTTTGCTGTTTTGATTTCCTCTAAAACGATTCCAAGGGAAGAGGGGCCTCTTTGTTTTGAGGCGCTGTAATCTTTTCGAATTTGAATGCATCATTTACTTCATTTCAAAAAAGCTCCAGACGCTCATGTATGGCAAACATCCCATAGATCAGGGTTTGTGTTTACAGCTCAATTAAGTCTAAGTCTACTCAGGGAGTCTTACTTGTCTGCTACCTCAAAACTGGCATACTTCTTTACTAATATAGAATTTGAATATGAAAACAAGTATAATGCTTCATTGGTTAAATGGAGTAGAAACCCAATGTAAGAACACCGAAGAGACTTACAGTCACAGTTGTGAATCAGTTTGAATACTAACACTTATGTTGACATTTCAAGTGGGTATCTTTGTCAGTGTGTTGTCTCAAATGAGTGAGTTGGACTGAGTGAGTTGGACTGAATTTATAAAGTACCTCCAGTCTCTTGTTGACTCATTTAAATGCAAACACCATTTGCAGTGAGGCTTTGCACTTTACCCTCAGGAGCAATTTAATGATAATTTTCTACCTCAAGTCCAACTCGTAGGCCACATGAGTGTCCTACCACTGCAGTGATGGAGGCAGAACATCTGAGTTTGTTGAGTTTCTTAAGGTACCTAAAGCAGATTACTGGATGCAGCCCTGGTCCTGTGTGTTTTGCCCAAAATCAAACAAATGTAAAATTTCTTCAAGTGAGAAACCATATTGGTCATTTGTTCAAAATACCCAGAATGGCTTCCTGTAAAGTAAAAAGCAAATCAAGCAGCAGGAGGAAGATGTAACTCGTAAGAGAATTGCAGCATGGGCACAAGTCATTTTCAAATCATTTGTGTAAGAACACACAAAATCCTCAGAAAGAGGAAGTTGGATGGTGCAGCTGTGCACAGTGCTTCAAATTACACAAGATTAAAACCAACGCTGCATTTTCACCTTTGAGCTACCTAACACTTTATAAAAGCATGTGTGTCACGTCCTTTTTTATTCAGATAATAGCAAAATTAACATCCTCAAGGCTAAACTGCATTCATTTTTGGATGCCATGTTATAGCATTTTTGCACTTCATATGAAGTTGTTTCCACATCCATTTAGATTTTAAGTAAAAGGATTGAATTAATCAACAAGACCATATGTTATAACATAGTATAATTCAGTCACCGTATGTTTTACAGAACCACCAAGAGGATGGGAAAATGCTACAATTATGCATATAATCTGACATTCGCTCAAGTTGAAGAGTGTCTGTACCTCGGGGTCTGGAGATGACAGGTGAATAAGCGAGGTGTTTACAGATATGCAAATTATATACCAGTCACTCACAATGAAGAGTGAGCTGAGTTACAAGGCAGAACTGTCAATTTCAGATAAACTGGATCGCTTCTAAAGATTGTTAAGCTCTGCACAGGACTGTTGTTGTGTTGACGAGGTCGGGTTATGTTGAAGCAGGAAAACCTCTAAAACCTGCAGGACAGCGGGGCCTCAGGCCTGGAGTTACCAACCCCAGCTTTACAGAGTGGTTTAGTGATGGGGGCGAGGAGACCAGTACTCTAAGAGGGGGCTCGCTCTAGATTTGATGTTCCTCTTTATCAAAAGGATACATATCCGGTGGCCTGAAAATCAGGATGCGGGGCTTCCTTGAAGTGTCTCCCCCCAGGAGAGGCCTTCAGGGTAGACTCAGGATACACTGAACATTCATATCATTCAGCTGGCTTGGAAGCAGCATGATGTCTCCCTTTTAAGAGCAGGAGGAGGTGGTTAGCACAGAGAGGTCTGGGGAAATCTGCTTAAACTGTATGGAACCGCAGATGAAAAGAGCCTAAATTGACCTTTATGGGGCGTTGGCCATTTTAGTTGGCACTCCTTGGAGGAACGGAGTGGATGAAGGATGTGGTTGTGGACCTACATCATCCCACCTTCACCTGAGAAACTAGAGTTCTTGTCCATTCTTTTATCTTTTATCATGTTTTTGGTAGTGAAAATTAAGTCTGGGATGAGTCTTTTCTCTCCCTCATTTTTTCCCTTTCCAACAAGCATCAGTTGATCACTTGATTAGGTTACAAAAATGTCCAAAACTTCTTTCATGGTGCGCTCATTCACTACAATCTGTAACTGTAACTCCTTTAGCTGAAGACTAAACAGATTGTTGTCTCCAGGAATTTAATTTGGCTTTATGATATTCAGCATAGAAATACTCATAAAACGGGTTGAGTTTACAATAGCATTCAAAGTGCTAAAATTACAGGTATTTCTGACAGTTATGCATAATAATGTGCAAAGTAGTGACACATCACTTCATCACATCATGGCTTTGCTGGGTTGTAGGTATGAAGTTTTTAATGCAGTGGCATAAATCCAGCTTTACGCATGAAAGGATCCAAAGGACGGGGAAAAGGTAAAGGCTCTGTGGAACAAATCAAATTCAACCTTTTCTTAAATTCAATGTGATACCAATAAGTTGAAAAAAAGTTTCTTGGTTTATCTAAGCAAAGCTGCAGATGTATTGTGTTATTTTGGTTGATCATCACTTAAACCATTTATGATCCCTATTTTTCAACAACAATGATTAAAGGTTTCTTTGTGGTGAGACTTTGTATACAGAACGGTGTCAGTCTGATTTCACAAATCCCTGAGGGGAGTCTTATCAGAGGGGGACTGAGATTAGTCTAACAACACCTAATCAAAATTTGAATGAATAAATATTCTTGATCATAGAAAGGAAATAACAATATCACAAGAAGAAGGCTGACTTTGAGAGATACCGTCTCATATTAGAGAAACTGAGATGAAATTAAAATGCTGGAACTTTTTTCAAACACATCTTCATGATTTTCCTCCCTTTCCCTGCTGAAAACTCGAATGATGTTCAGCAGAACTTATGAATAAAGGAAGAATCTGTAACAATCTGTCATGACCTCATGTTCGCCACTTACTCTTTGGTCTCCTCTGTTGTTTTACTTTTTTCACCTTCGACTTCCTTACACATTTCAATCTTGCTTGTCTGTCCTGACTGCTGTTCTTTTGATCAACCCTTTCCTTCTTTAAGTCCACCTCTGTTTCATTTTCTCAGTCATCTTGACACCTCTTCACTGTCAGCCCTCTATCTCTGTCTTTGGTTTGCTTTGTCTCCTTCATACCAAATCTCCTTCTGACACTTTCAGCAGAGGCATTTTGACAGATCTGGGGATATCTGCACCTCAGCAGATGTTCTCCCATACAGCGGCAGGCGTGTGCCTGTGCGAGTGTGTGATATGTGCTCGTAAATGCACACAGATTCGCACACTAAAGAGCTAATTAAGAATTCATAAATGTCAAACTGGGACCCTGTACAGAAACTGTAGTCAAGGATACCAAAGGATCTTTGAGAATGACTTTACTCATTTAGACTTGCTGTGTGCGTGTGTGTATGTGTGTGTCTGTATGTATGTGTGAAGCACAAATTTCACTGATGATTTATATCAATGATTTGTATTGCCCCTTTTTTTATCTGCACAATATTAAAAACACGATAACATTTGCAATTGCCTGCCACTCAATAACTGATTTATATCACAATCAAAACCTGCTGAAATATCAAAGAAAGGACTGCGTAAACGTGTAATTCTGTTTGAGCGGAAAACAATTCAACCATTGTGGTCAATCGGCTGCAATTCCACCTCTCACAATGAAGTTTAACAGCTTTGCCAACAAAATCCTGACATATTTCTATTCATGAGACTTTAAGAGCTTTTACTATGGGGCTTTGACAAATTGAATTGATATTGTTAAGTAGTACTCATACTGTATGCATCTTTTTTATTCTCTCAAGACCCATGGGTTGTTTTGTTTGTTTCCGGTGTTTCTGTTCTATTTGGTTAAATTAGTTCCTTTGCTTCCTTTGCTTTGGGGCGTCCGCTGCCTTTTGCCCTATGAAGCAAGGCCATAGCCATCCATAACCTTAGGTTGGAATACATAAGAAGATAAGAATATGATCAAATTAATTGAGGATATTTCTTGTTAAATATTGGGCTTATAGCCTGAAGTGATTTGAATTTACTTGTGTTCTCATTTTAGAGGTAACTACCTCTCATTTATTTATGCTCTATCCTTCTGTATAATTCCTATTCTTTTTGTTAATATTTATCTTGGTTCTTTGGTCATTATGGCTCCAGCATGGCATTTGTTGTTGTAGCCTTCCTTCTCCTGCTGCCATTACTGGTCTCGCCTGTTTGTTGTTACGCAACCAGCTATGAATGTGAGTCTTGTCTATTTTCCGTTTTTCAGTTCATTTTCTGTTCAGCCTACCTTTTTGGGACGGCAATGACACATATTTTATATGGAACATTTAGTTGGACATAAATTCAATACGTTGAGAAAAAAACTATTGCACATATCCAGGAAAGATATAGTACACTAGTATAGCAGGTTTACTTGTATATGATAATGCACAGTTATTAATTGTAGGCTTGTGAGAACAGGAATGTTTGGGATATAGTTGTAATAGACCTCAGACCAGCGCAGCTTTATTCAGAGATCTGAATGAAAAAATCGTCCCCCAAATTTAGTCTTTTTTGGACGTTTTGATGCCCCTGTAGATCAAATAGAAGCTTAATTTTGTTTGACTTTTTTGGCTTTTAATTAACATTTCAAGAAAAGTTATTTATGTCTAAATTTCTTCTGATCATAAATTTCTTGTCTGATTTAAGTCTTTGAAAGTCTGATTAAGCTTATTTAGATTTTTGCAGAGTATGATTTTCTCCCCTCCTAAGATCTATAATTTGTGCAGAACAATAACATTTGTAGAAGTTTAATGACATTCTGCTTACTAATAATCCAAACTACAAAACTGGTTTATTCTTGAAATAATGTTCTACAGTTTAGTGTACTAACGTTGTGTAAGTTTATCTGTAAATATGACTCTCCTGACTGGTCAAGCTGATCAATAACCAAATCTCTTGTTGTCTGCATTATTATTATAATCAAAGCTAATTATTCTATACGGGTATTCACTCAAGTTTTACTCTTTGTATGCTTATATTGCCTTTTTTCCAACATCAAGGAGTCTGTTTGTAATCCAAATATAACTGGTTTTGACTCGGTTACAAAATTTAATTTCTTTTTTGTAATTTAACAGATTGTACCATCCTGAATCATTTGGATCCAAAACTTGGAACTAGAATGTGTAGTATCAAGCTCTCCTAAAAATGTTAACACAACACGTGTGTAGAATGAAAAAATATTCAGCATTTTACCGTTTGCCTGCATAAGACAAATAGGAGCTGAGCAATCAATAGGAGTGGCTTTAAAATGCCTCATGAAATTTTTAGTAACAGCCTGGAAATGACCCTGAAAAATCAGCTCTGCTCATGTTTATTGAAGAAGGAAATTTGTCAGGCATGCGTGTCCTTAGGCCCTCAAGGATAAGCAGTAAGAGCTCTGAAGGTAAACACAGCTATGTTTAGAGGAGAGCTCTACAGAGCTCTTCAAAGCTTCAAGAGACACAGTCGACCATACATGCTCTGGTTTTCTGAATGTATTACTCAGATTTTGGAGCATCCTGTGAACAGCGATAACACAGCGAGCAGGGAAAAGATGCAAACGGACATCAGGAATGTAAAAGAGCCAGCAACAGTCACATCGATAACTGGGAAAAGGGAGGCAATAACTAGGATACCAATGCTGTGCATAGCTCCTTCTCATCACTGAGGAGAAGCTCTAATAGGGAACAGTCAAGGGTCACCATGGCGATATAAATCACACCTGGCAGCTGGGAGACAGTCGCCTTGACAACTAACTTAATATGCGCTCCCTGAACAGACTGTATACCTGTGAGTGTGTGAGTAAACTTAGGTGTAAATGGATGAAGCTCATAGTGACTACAGTGTATATAAGAGTCAGGTTAAACAAGTCAAAATCAGATAAAAACATACATTATGAAGTTGTGCTTGGCAACCGTACAACCAGCATTGCACTTCCTGATCATGTGTATAAAATTCACAAGTCTGTTTTTTATTATTTCAGGGAGTCCCAGCAAACACATTCATATTAAGATTTACAATATCTGAAACACGATCTGCCAGTAAACCTTTTACACATTGGCGTTCTATGGGTCTTAGCTTAATGGATTGGACAGTGTTGAACTGCCTTCTTTTTTGCTGGGATTAAACAGAAACTTTACCCGATCATAAATATATTAGGGATTTTAACATTTACTTTGACATTGAAGGTTGTTTTTGCAATAAAACTTGTAGCGCTTTGTCATTTCTCAGTTTCTTCTCAAAGTGCTGATGATGATTAAGACTGCACGTTGAGATCACCCTTTTTGAAATACTATGTTTTTATTTTTAGTAGTTATGTTATTTTATTCATTTTTTCATATTCTGCAGATGCCTGAAAAGCACAAATGTATGTCAGATATATAAAATAAGTAAATGTAATGATAAAGTTTTAAAACACAGAAGTTTAAACCATATGATCCAAAATAAAGAAAGAATGGATTCCTTCAAAGCTGAGTGCACACTGTTTGCCTACCCTGCTGTCGGAGCTGGGAATCATGGCGTCAGTCATCCAGGAGCCAAAGCGGGACCCTGATGCTCTCACTGTGATTGGGTTGCTAACTGCAGTCAGACGACCACAACCTGATAACAGACACATAGATCATTATGAACGGACAAGAAGGAGAAGATAAACAGTACTCTCCACAGTGGATAGGGTTTCCTGGCAAACGTACTTGGCCATTTATGAGCAGCCACCCATAACTGTTACAGTGGTGTTTCATAAAAAAACGATCACAAATTTTAGATCCATATAAAACAGAGCAAATTGAAAGAGAAAAATATGTCTGCACTATCGGTGATGGTTTGAATGCTTTAATATGTTCTCAAAGGCTCTTTTAAAAGCTGCATCCACCAAAGCTTTGACAGTTTTTTCACTGATACATTTGATAGCTGTCTTCATTTATCCAAATAAAACCGTGACCTTGAAGAATTACTAATTACTGTAGTTATGATAAATAGTGTATAGATTATAAAGGAATTGTAAAGAGCTTTCTGTCTATATGGATCCATATGAAGTACAACAGACTCCAATGTCAAAGGTTTTCAATTCAGAATTAAGGTTGAAATTTCCAATTAAAAAAAAGTAAAAGAAAAATGTTTTTGGATGTTCCATTATTATGTCTGCCTTTTTACTTTAAAAACATCAGATAACACTACTTAATTTTTTATCTTTGCATATGACCTCATCCGTTATGATTTTGATTAGAAGACTGCCTTCTGCTCTTTAAGCACGTTTGACATCTTGTGGGAAGCGCTTATATACTGTTAAGTAAACATTGCAACATTCATAACTGCTCTCGTTTCTGTGCGGAACATGTAAGGCTACTGGCAGCAGCCTCATTTTGCGCATTGAGGAATGAACAGAAAATACTTCTACAAGCCTGGACAAAAGGAGATGTGGCTTAAAGCTGCAAGCCGTAGTTAATACTGACTATACAGGGATGCTCATTCTACAAATCCTCGAAAATCCAACTATACATTCAAGTCTGCACCAACCAGATTCTTCATTTGATCTTTTTGAAAAAGCACTTCTCTTTCGTGAATCTCACATCAACAAAGTTCACAATTCCACTCGACTACTGCTGATTACTTCACATGGTACATATATTGCAGTACCTTTTATTTGCATCCTTTTTTGCCTGCTCCACCCTATTGAGATGTTGCTTTCTTTATTTAATCTGCTGCTTGACAATAAAAAATGACAGCTTCTGTGTGATTTATGCAAGCTAAAACAACCATAGTTGGCTTTAATCAAATTAAGCAATGACTAAATAAACCATTAAAAATATATATAGCAGCAAACAGACTTGAAACCACATGCGTTTTGCATGCAGTAATGCGTTTTATTATTGTCCCTCCAGCACATACCCAATTTGTTCATGCAACTGTGCAGCCTGGTCTCCAGCAGTAACACCCTTTGCTGAAGCTCTTCATAGTCATACGCTCCAATCTCTTCCTGAATGGCTGTGAGGATGATGGATAGGTTGAGCAGCTCCATTCGCAAGGTGGCCAGCATTTGTAAGTCCAGTCTGTACTGGTCCATCACTGACAAGAGAGGCCGGAGCTGAGACATCTGGCCATTCAACTCCTGTGGGTGCATGAAAAAAAAATAGGAGGAAAGGCGAGGTAGAGAAGATATCAGCACCAGCGTAGTTAAATCTGAGGCATTGTCTGTAGTATTTCACCCTCACGTTTCATTTGTAGCGATTCATGCATCTGGTAAAGACGCCCTTTGGGAGTAACATTCCTCCCTAGGGAACTTAGTAAGATGAAACATCTTAAGCTGTGGCTGTTGCTAATACAGTGATTGAATGTTGGGAAAATGTTGAATTAGCTCAGACATTGATCTCAATTTCATTTGCGCATTTGCAAATAAACAACGCACAACAAGTAAATAGAAACTGAAAGCATCAAATAATTTAGTTAAAAATATTCATACTCTTTGGACCTTGGTTACATAGCTCTTGCTCTTTCCTTGCTTTTGGCTGAAGAGAAGTTTGTTTTCAACACACTTGGCAGCTTAGATTCTGTGAGTCACGATTAATTGCTGCCTACATGCTCACACCTCTTAGCTCTCCTTTGGGATGAGCTAAGACAAGAGATGCGAGCGAGGGCGGTGAATACCACATTTACCAAATGGAAAGCACCCCCAGAACATGCTAGAGGGACTACACATCCCATCTGGTAGGGGAACAGTTCACAATCCCACAGGAGGTGATGTCAGATGTAAGTCTGGGCTGGTCTGCAGTATACCACTGCTCTGACCCAGATAGAGAACAGAAAATGGATGCACGATTTTTTTCTTTTCTTTTTTACGACTCACACTGGAACTTATCTTGAGCCAGCAAGGAAGGAACTCCAATCCGCCTAATCAAGATCAATATCCGCCTAAATCGTAAATATGAAAAACTGTGTTGCAGTAGGGGAATCAGGGATTCTTTCTTAATCTTTTCAGTCTAAAGACTTAGATGCATCGCCACCATGAAATCCTTCAAAGACAGTTTTTACGAAGAAAAAGAAAGAACGAAGTGAAGAGAAAATGTCATCATCTACTCGGAACATCAACCCCCCTCACACAGACACACACAGACACACACACAGACACACATATGCACACCCAGGAGCACATCCAAGAAGAGCCTGGCAATCAGTCAGACACTTTTTGTGCCCAATCCCTCCCTGCTGTCAAAATGGGACCTAAATAGTTTTCCAATATGATTTTACATAATTTTGCAGGACCGCTTCACCAATTGTTCGTGTCAGTGTATAGCGCATTCAAGCTTTAAAAATGTCCACTTGAATTTAATATTATAAATGGTGCTCCATGTGTATAATTGAAGGCTGTCAAATGTTTGAAACCCCAAAAGGCTGTTAATGGTATTGTTTATTTCATTGTGAAAATCAATCTTATTTCTGCAATGTATCATTCTTTAATTTATCACTCTTAATTTATATGTTTGTGTAATGACTTCATCCCTCTGTCTCACAGGTAACATTACAACACACCTTTGCATTTCCCTTCTTTTATTCTTTCATCTGTTTATCCCTCTATTTGACCTACAGCTCTCAATGTCCCTCATTTCCTCGCTCCATGGGATAGAAATACTGTTTAGTTATTGATAAACTTACTGTAGTTGCACATAAATATTCAAGAGTTCTGCCTCTCAGTGCAAAAGCAAAAGCTTATGACTGTGAAAGTCCCCAAGGAGCAACACACACACACTGCATAAAGCAAGTATATAAAAACAGACCCCCTAGTTGTTAAGAAGACGCTCGGAAAAAGATGAAAGGCAGGATGGATTTATGAAAAGGCAGCAATGTGCTCTGTTTGAGAAAGTAAGGGTGAGTTATTTCGTGTGTCTATATTACCTTTTTATGGGGACATAAATATGCTCATTCGGTCAAAATATGGGGCTTGTCTCCCATTTGGAAGCAACATAAGAAGCCCTATAATGCAGCTCATTACAGAAAGGGTATGAGAAAATATGTGAGCGGGGAACTTGTGAGTCCTTGTATAGCAGAAGTTCTGTACAGATATTACAGCAGTCTCAAATTCTTTAGATATTTGTTAAGGAAATTACATGCTGGTTCAAGGGAATTTCATAACAAATCAAAAACAAAGCTCTAGCTCAGTTTGACTGTTTTTTTCATATATCCAATTTTTCTGATTAGTTCCCAACATAAATATACAAGTTTTCATGGCGAGGACCCAGTCAGTGTCAGTGTCAGTATATATTTCTATCTTTATGGCCCAGTTTTACCTTGGTCCAAAAATAGATTCTCGAATACCAACTTTTTTTGTTGGAAGATGTGTCACATAATTTATTGTTTATTTATTGTATGAATTACTCTTCTGATTTGTATTTACTTATTCAATGATCGAATGTGTGGATAAGTATTTAATCATCTTATCTGATGATGATTGGTCTCACCTTAAGAAGACATGGACACTTTGCCCAAAGGTTGTTTAGAGAAATTATGGTGAGCTTTGAATGTCATCTTTACTCATCTTTGTGTTTATCTGTCCATATAAAATATTTTTGTGTAATGTCTGAGCCTTTTAGCAGGCGTACTCTTCATTCTAAAAGGCATTTTTTAGGTTACGTTTATTTTCTACATTATTCATTTTAACTGTGTATGTGCTGTTGATTACCAACACATGCATTATAAATGCTTGTGGGGGGGAAAAAGTGAGCAGAGCCAAACATTCTTTAGCAGACTAAACTTGATTCTGAAATTCAAATTGAATTAAATGAGCTTTTAAAAGATAACCACTCACAAAGGGAAATTAGAGTCTTTCATCATCATAAGTAAGCATTATTTGGTTATTGCTGCTGGCAGGAATGACTTCCTGTTCCAGCCTTTGTGCCAGCAGAGCTGGAGACGCCTCTAAAACAGAGCCAACCATCTTTATCAGTTTGTACAGCGTCCTGAGTGGTACTGACACTACAGTCACAACACCAGTAATGATAAAATGTTAGTAGAGCTTTAACCACTCACACCAACAGGTACGATTTTTTTAATTACCAGATGCTATAGAGAATTCTGATCCTCTGAACACAGTGTGGCCCAAATATATTATAATGTCAAATGAATAAAAAATGTATATCATCTAGGAAATATCTAGTACAGGATGCTAACTTAATGCAAGCAAAAGCATGAAATGTGTTTCGAATTCTATAAATGTATACATTTTTAAATACTCTTCTATGCTTCAAGCCAAATGTATTTTTTCAAAAAACCTGTAATGCTGATGTTGCACGGAGATTCAAGAGGTGATGCTGTTTATCAATTTGACACTTGAGAAACAATCACAGAATCCTGAAGACATCCATACCTACGTAGCAGTTTGACATATGATCAGAGAACTGTTCTCGAACCCACGATCACAGATACTCCGAATGACTTCAAAGGTCCAAAATCAGTCCAGGTTTCACCTTTGTGCTGACATGAAGATCTCCCTCCGTTCTCGCTGATAATGTTGCATGCAGATTCGAACAAGGTTTTGTTACCTTGTCATCAAGTCAAAGAGTGCTTAACTGACAGCTACAATTAAAGCAGCCATTTCTCAGCTGATTTCAATGTTTACACCATTTAGGCCTAATCAGCAAGAACCCCAGTCTCTCATTCTCCTCTAATAATCAACATGTTTGCCTGTTGACATAGCAAAGTCCCAATGCAGGAAGAGTTATCAAGGGACTTCATATTACCTTCTTTCGTATTCATTCTACTTGATTAAACAAAAAAGGAAAAAAAACAAGCATACCATAAATCATCGGTGTAAATTGGAAGTTCATTTTAGTATTAAAATAAATATTTTACAATCTCAGATAAATTTTTATTTACACTGCTTGAGGCCTTAATGTGTGCAGTTTTACAGACACTGTCATAACGCAATGCTCTGAGTCTCTGTTTTACACCGTGGGCATATATCAAGGGAAATTGACAGTTTCAAGAGAATTTTTGTCTCCCTGACGGATGATGCGCGCGTGTCTGACAGCAGGCAGGAAACCTCAGCTTGGCATGCATGAAATCAATGTTTTCACACCAAAGGTTACGGGTTCCCCGAAGCGACTGCCTTTCTTTGTTTATTTACCTGGGTGCATTCCCTGAATGTGTGCATGCGTGTGTGTGTACCTGGAGGCCTTTGGTTGTCAGCGTGCGAGGATTGGCCACATAAGTGTGCAGACGCCCATCCACGCCTCTCAGCAGAGGTTCAGAGTCTCGGACGTACTGAAGGTCTCTGGACGTCCGCAGATCTACCACCTCCATGGACTGGCTCACATTCTGAACCTGAACAAAAACACATCCACACACAGATACACGCACACACAGTTACCTTTTGGAAGAATTTCAGTTTTTTGGTGGGCACCTGTTATAAATTTAAAAACACCTGTTGTTTGCATACTGTCAAATATGACTGATATGATGGAGCAATTCAAGGGGTTAAAGCTCAGTACATTTATGGCAAAAAAAAAACTATACACCGGCAGCTAAAAATAGCCTGAAATTAAATTTCATTGCAATCTGTCCAGGATTCGCTGGCACATGTCAGACTTAAGGAAAACAGGCATTGGCACAGATCGACTCACTGTCACAGTGGATGAATATAATGTGCTCAATTCGGTCAAACTCAGAGTGCAAATTATCTGACAAGGCAGTCTCTTTGCATCTGATCTCACTGTTTTGTGATCTTTTAGTGATCCAGTATCGAACGGTCAAATCCCCAAACCATCTATCCCGGATTTCACCATTAAGGAGGAAGGGGTGATCCTGGGCAGGTCACTGGTCCATCACAGGGACAAAATAGACAAATGTCACACAGTGGGTTAATCTAACTTGCATTTTTTGTATGGTAGGAAGAAGCCAGAGTAGGCTATCCAGAGAGACCATAAAGAGAATATAAAGTCCATACCGAAAAGCCCCAGCAGCAGAATTCAAAGGAAGCTTCTTGTAGACTAGCCACTATGCAATAGAGTAACCCAAAACAGTCGATCAGAATGACAACATTTTGCCCTTATCCCCAAACCTGAAAAAGCAATGATGTTTAATTAAATAAAACAACAAAAAATCTGATAAAACAGAAGCTTTCTTTTTTGCTCTGAATCGATCCTCAATTTAGAGAACGTTTTTCATAAAGCACCTTTCTTTAAGAAATGTAGAAAAATAGGTTAATTCTAGTTTTCTATTGATCCAAAATATTATATAATTGAATTGAGAGACTATTTGGCAGCAGTAATTCACTTACTGACTCCTCCCCGGGAGCAATCTGATTCATCAACATATTTGGGCCGGGAGCCTCTCAGTTCCTCAAAAAAATTGTACCTGGTTTCTATATTGAGCGCTTTATGGAAGATATATTTTCATTTAATGAGTTAGCAGGAAATAGGATACACTAAATTGAAATAAAGCTATGAAAGGGTATGAAAAAAAGACTCCTTTGATTGATCCCTCCGTTGGACATGTTCAGAATACATTGATCAGGCCTTCAAACACAGAACAGTAAATGCCAGAACACAGAGGGTACATTCGATCATTCTCTCTGCTAGGTAAAGCAGAGCTGATCCAGTCTGCAGTAGGGGAAGATAGCCCATGTAAGTAAATTAAGGATATTACATTTTTACTTAAAAAATACAATTTGTAGAACTAACTATATTTTACAGCCAATATAGATGTTATATTCCTGTGAATATTTGATTGGATCTAATATATGAAACCAATACGTTTCTAATTATGACAGTGAGCTTTATTGTTCGAATTCAATAGTTTTCTTTTCTTTTTTTTGGCTCACATTGGACAGATTTCTTGACATGACACATAGTTGTGAAGGTTTGAAACAGATTGTGACTTTAGAGGCTGATCCTGCAGTCTGAGTACACAAACAGCGATATGAAAAATCACAGTGTGTGCCGTTGAAAGCATAAAAAAGCCCAATTCATCGGGATACTTCCACACACATAAGGCATCGTCTAATCACTGTAATTTTCTTGGCTATGTCTGACTCAAAGACACAACAAATCCGTTCCTCTTTGTCATGACTGAATTACCCCAGTATTAGGACTGGTTATTTGTTCATAGAGAAAGAGAGACAGGGGAAAGGTGCTGATGGTGGGTGGAGATGAAGATGAGGTGAAATTAGCATGTTCATACTACCCCACCAAATTCTCTATAGATGCGGAAGAAGAAGAATCATATCCAAAGAACATTCCAGGTCAAGTCTTTAAAAGAAACACACAATTTGCAGGTATATAGTCTGTAGAAGATTCTGTTAATTGTTTCAACAAAAGGTGCAAATACATCCTGAATGTATTCCTCTTGGAGGGAGTATCTCATGAGGTCAATTGAAAATTAAGTTTCTCGGTCACAGTCATTTCTGCTCTGAAAACAAGCAAAAATCAAACACTCCCATACTGCTTCTTATCAACCATCCAGAAATGCAAACAGATAACATCAAAAGAGGAAAAAAAAGTGTGAAAAAATATGAAAATGGCCTAGATATCCAGAAGTGATATAAAAACAAACAAACAAACAAATCCACCCACTCATGTTGTAAATCATGTTGCAGGCTGGAGACTGGCAGGAAAATCAGAACACGTATGTAAAATCTCACAGATATGCACCCCCTCCTCTCACAGCAGGATCTCGGTGTCACCTGCAGAGACAGGCTGAGCTAATTAAAATTCATAAATCCAAAAGCTTCCAGATAGGATCAGAGTTGGGAGATTAATGCGGGGTTACTTCTGATCATGATCATCCTTCTCCCATCTCTCACCGGTTCTTATTGAGGGAAGAACAGGGTGTAACATAAAACAATGGCTGACAAAAAGAGTTACAACCATTTTATTGTTGCCACTGCTTTGCTGTGGCTCGCTCTTCCTTTGGGGGAGGAAGGCTTCGTGCCTATATCCTGATGTGTGATCCTCACAGCAGGGCCCGCTTTGAGAAATGTTTGCTGGCCTGATGGTGTTCAATAATTCATCAGTCTCGGTCACAAATCACTTTTTATTCCTCTCTTGAGATATACATTGTGAGAAAATATGCTTATGCCGTCAGATGTATACCCTGATACGAACACACTTGCACGCACACTTTCCTACAGAAGCGAGAGCACATGGTCACATACTGGGCTTCAGCCTGCAGTATGGAGCAAATGTTTTCTCTCCACCCATCTGTCCGGGTTTTTCTGTGAGTTTAAACTGTTCTGGCATGTTGAATGATTGGCAGTCTGCAGAGAATTCAGCCACTGATGTATCATAGACACATCTGTCAGTGAAACCTGGCCGTGTGAGGGATTTCTGAAAATGTCAAAACGGAGACGGTCTGGAATATTTCTTTTTAGTGTGCCGCCTCTTCCCTGCCCTAAACTGGAATATTCACCACTGAAACAAGTTGCTGTGACCCCAGCAAACGAACAAAAGGCGCAAACGGAGGCTCACCTGCTCAGTCAGGAGGTGAAGCTGTCTGTTCCGAGGGTCTCGTTTGCATAGGTTTCTCGCAGGAGCCACAACCGTGCACACACACCTGCCGTCGGGATCTGAGGCCGTGCTGTACACCTGCCAGCCTTCCTCTGAGCCGGGGTACAGTCCCTGCACACAAACAGCCTCCGTGTTAATGAAGTCACTGCAGGAGCAACACGTCAGCCACACTCTCAGCGGAGCAGAGGATGAGCAAAAGAAGAATGTCAAGCCCAAAATGAACTCCAATATGTGTGTTCTTTTTTTGCTTTCAATAGCTACAACAGAGCTTCTGAGTTTATATGGCCACTAGATTTTTGTTTTCTCTTTGGATCAAAACATTTTAATATTCTGCCATTTTGATAACTGATCGTAGCCCTTAAAGCATGTTCCTAAATCAAAATTTTGATGATCACGATATCATTTATTACTTAATCAGTTCTGTGAAAAAGATAAAACATCCAACTTCAATATCGATTGGATTGGATGTCCTTAAAAGAAAGAAAAATGAAAAACAGTTACTTTTACCTTTTTTTAACAAATGTTTGAGATGTAAATTCTTTGAAAACGTGAGCAAAAGAAAAATCATTCCAGAACATACACGACCCACTGATAAAGATACATCTGGCCAATAGACTTCAGCAATCCTTTCACATGGTACAGAACATCATTGTTAATTTGAAAAATAAGCTCCTCTTTCTTTACACATCGTTTTAATGGCTTCTCTTGACATACATCCACCCTGAATAGAAAATGGATTCATTCCATGTGACCAGGTGAGAGTTTTGAAAAATTGAAATCATTGAAAGTTGCCTCCCTGCTCTGATTGGTTTTGTTTGATCTCTCTTCACTTTCATACCTTCATCATACGTGTTGCCTTCACACAGGCAGCACAATGAACACAGAGCAGCGGCTGCTGAGAATTGTTTTGCCCCAAATAACCATCTTCAGAAGCTGCTTAGCCTCAGGCGGCATACAAATCCTGACTCTTTTATGCTGTACCGTATATGACATTATAGAAGAAGACAGGCTAGATAACAGTCATAACTTTAAAAAGGCATGATATAAAATGGTATAAAGGTAAGCATGAAGGAGTACAAAACATACTGATTTTACTGATGCAGGGACAGAGTTGAGCTTCAGAGAATACACACGCTGCTATAACACAGCTGTGGAGCCTTTGGACAGTTTTAATATAGTTTACTTAGTTTACAGAATTTCAACATCAGCATTCAAGTCAGACTTCAATCTTTCATATGAACAAATATTTTCCCTTTAAAAGGTTTTTCTCTGGATCACCCTCCAGGTACAATTAACAATATTGGATGCAGATTGTGATTTAAGTGTCCATTTATGTTTGCAGAGAGGAGAGTGTACAGTATGCTCTTTGCGCTTTATTTTACTTGACTGCATACGAGGCATCTGTGTGTAAACTCGATATTTCTCATTTGCAGCTAAAACCAGCTGTGACATCTCCTACGTGTTGGTGTCCAAGAAAGCCAGCAGCAGGGCTGGAGAGCCTCCATTTTCTGCATCCGCAGATATACCTGATGTTCCCTTTGGCAAAAAGTCACCTTTTCCCCAAAGCTATTAAAACAATCTGCTCCAAATGACTTATACCCATCCAGAGTCCAGAGAAATAAACAATGGACCCCTGATTGCTACTATTTCATACACAAATTCAAATGTCTAAAGGTTCTCATACACAACAAAACCAAAACATTCAAACTCGTATTTCAAATTTGTTTTATTTCATATGTGATTCTCTCTTATTTAAAACTACAAAGATATTTGAATTGTACCATGTAGAATAATAGGATCATTGAGATTTGAGTAGTAAGACCTTGCTGTTTTTATGTAGAGATATGCTTTGCTGTTATATCTACAGCATTGACTAGATTCAATTGAAAGCAATGCTTGAAAAACATATTGTGTCTCAATGGTTGAGACAGTGGATGAACGTGTGTGTTTGTTTTATCCCTGACTATTATTTATTAAAGAAAACAGTACAATTTAGTATAAAGAAATACATTTCAAACTGTAAAACCAAATTGCCAAATAAAAAATGCACATGAACGATTCCCAGCAGGGAATTACACATTATTACGTCCATGACAACTCAAGTAGTCACAATTATTGACAGATCCACAGAAGGTAATTACCAAATAATTCCTCTTTAGTCCAAAACAGCTTGTTGTTCTGGGCTTTTGCTCCATCTTTGCTGCTCTCTATAGTCTGAGTGTGAAACATCCAGCTTGAAATGATGCTGTTCTTTGTAATGTGAAGGGAACTTCAAGAATTCAAATCAGACTTCACTCATGATGACAGCTAATGGGGAATAACACCGTTTGGTAGTCAAATATTTTCAGTTGTGGATTACTTTTTTTTCATTTTGAATACACAGATGTGTCAGCCTAACAGTATCGGACAGATATTTTTTATAAATGATATATCAAATATGTCTTTACATAGGTTAGTCATCGTGCTCCTTTTGCCCTCCCGATGAGCATTCCTAGCCATATTACAGCTAGAATTTAAAAAAAGCTAGGCATACACTTTAAAAAAAAAAACTATACAGATATAAGTTAATAAATAAGATATTACACATTTATCCAGCTTCGATTTGGAAACTTAAACAACTTTGCTATGTGGCCAGTGTAGGCACTTTACATTTAGTTTTTTCTCCCACAGAAAAAAGTGTAAATAAAATGCATGCATAAAAATACATCCTTTATATTTTCAGGTGTTTAAGGCTGCAACAGAAAGAAAGAGAACTGTGTTAAACAAAAACTTATGTTTCCTATTCTTGCATTTTTTGTAGTTTATTTTGAACCTCATTAGGTAGTCCTGAGATAACAGTAATTATTCCCTGCGGTCTGAATGCGAGTGTCAAAATTCATCATATTTGAGAAAACGTAAGATTATGAGCTCACTTTAACCAATCTTCTCTTTGACCTACTTACTGTTCACATTTTATTACATTGTAAAGGAACTGCTCGGCCCCACCTGACATTCACCAGGCTGTCTCACTAATGTGAATCATTTTTCAGGGTTTGCCCTACAAACACTGAAAAATAAGAACGGAGAAAGTAAGAAGTGGTAAGGGTTGAGGCTGTGGAAGGAACAATGGGGCTGACTCTATAGGCCTGAAGGGAACCATCAGATCGATCAATCAGCTGGATCTGGTATGATGGCCTTGATGCTGTAATTCAGAAAGAAAGGTAGGATAACGGAGTCGGAAACTTGGATGGGATGAAAGTATAAGCAACGTTTGTTCCTTCTGCTTGATGTAATTAAACGGGGGAAGACATAAGGCACCTTAGGGCTCATTTCACACACGAGAGAAATGATAAAAATCTACAGGCAGCCGAAGTGATTGCTATAGTGTAGATACAGAGAGAGAACATAAAGAAACAAGGCACAGCTCTGCAGTTAACTGATGGTGACATAAAACGCTCAAGAAACACGTGTCTTAACTTATTTTAGGCAAAAATCGCCATCTGTGCAAGCCATCACAATTACATAGTTTGAATCAGAACATTGTCTCATGATAAGAAGCACAGATGTCATACTAAACGTACCAAAACAGGATTCAAAACCATTCTAATGGATTAAAAACTTGAAGGTGGCAGTGTGCAGTAAAATGTAAAGACAGATATAAATAGTTTTTTTTAAGTGTTCATAAGTGTACATAAGTGTTCATAACTACTATTGTAGCCGGTTTGAAAACATCTGAACCATTACTGGTGTTGTTGATTGAGTTCATCTGAAAGGACTGTGAAGTTACATCAGGCAAAAGCATGCAGCAAAAAAGGCCTATGTTACAGACACATACAAACAGCTTACAGTTTTGGAGATGTTCTATCAATAAGCTGTGAATAATGACTGTTTCCATGAAGCTTTTCCAACATCTCCATCTGTCCTCATCCGCTCCCTCTATGTGCATTTTGTGTGGGCGTCCACTTGCATAAGACTGCTCGTACTTTGCTGAACTTGCAGAATGCCATTACACAGCATATGATGGGTACCTTTTGAGCCAGAAAGCTAAATCATGCAAAGACCCAGCCTACAAACACATAAAGTCTTGAATTTAAGACAGTCTTTTTCATCCCCGCAGGGAAAAGACACAATGGTGTAACTGTACAAACGGACGAGTAATACCTTGGACACAAACACAACGTGCATTCATACGCTGAGCATACACAGATTAAGACATCCATGTGCAGTGGTTCATCGTCATGCCTGTGGTTACCAGGGTGTTGCTAGGGCAACAAATTGCTGCCTGTCCCATGGGTGAGTCAGCCCTCCCCAGGAGAAATATCACTCCAGCAAGTCTGAGACAGAGCAATCCTATTAACCGCGTGTAGCAATGGGTTCAGATTGTGCGTGTAATCTTCATGTTTCATGCTAACAGAGAAGGTTATTTATTCATTCACTGTCTCCAGACTTTTCTTAGACTATGTCCTGATTATGCATTTAAACTATTCTTGTAACATCTTTGATCTATTTTCTGCCCCCTTGAACAATTCAACATCAGATGCCGGCTGAATAATCACCACCATTGTGGATATTCTGTGCTTTTTATGTACCTCGTTAAAAAGTGAAACTGTTATTACATCAAGAACAAAGCACGGCAGATAATACAGCTTATGTAACTGAATTGAGAAGAGGTGTTGATGTTTTAGGAAAAGAGTAGAAAAATTTTAAGCTTAAAGAACTGCAGAGCACAATTTCAGCAGCAGGTAAACCCAAGAACTTCCTTCTTAAATTATAAATGATTCAGAGACCTGAAAGATCATGTTTTAGGTGCAAGAATTCCATGAAATGATTTGTTTAGGAAGATATCTCTTAATCTTTGAACAGGCTGGTGTGTGTGCGCAGAATACATACACTGACGATCCGCTCATGTGTCCCCTCAGGGGTGATGATGGTTCCGTTTAGTCCAACCAGCGACGGCAGGGTCTGGGACATCCAGTTAGTGACCATGGCCATGGTGCTGAGCACCGCACCAATTTTCAACATAGGAACACTCATCCTGACACACACACATCCACACGATCTAAAACTCTGTCGTGCCCTCACACACAGACCAAAGTGTTGGCGGCAGTCATTCTAAAAAACGGCACGTACACAAACGTGATGCTACAGGTAAAACATCACACACACACACACAAAGCACAGGTTGTTCTTGGAAAAAAGAAAAAAGAAAAAAAAAACACACGACTGAGATTTCCCTCCTGCTTAAGCCTCTCCTCCTCCGACGCGGCCGCAAGTTAGGGGATAAATCCGGACACACAAGCCATTCCAGATGCCTCCATGTGAAGACACAAGTCCAAACATCCAACGCTCAGCTCAGGATGAAGGTGACGCTCCCAGAAACCGCTGGTTTGAAATGTGTGTGTGTGTGTGAGTGAGTGTGTGTGTGTGTTCTGGACTCCTTCCTCCGTCTGGCAGTGAGGCGTTGTGACTGAGCCAGCACTGCTCTCTCATTTATCCACTAACTCTCTGCCTCTCCAACCCTGCTTCCACCCTCTCTCAGACACACCCCTCCATCGCTCAATCACCCTCTCACTCATTTTTAAACATCTTCCTCCTAAGATAAAAACTTGTCTTAGAGCAATAGTTACTGAATGAGCGCTTAACATAAAACAAGCAACAAGATAAAGAAAAGAAATGCATTATGTCCATATGCAGCTATTCCCCTCTTTTTGTTCTTCCCTGACAATAGTGTATTTGTCTCATCTGACCGCAGTCAGCACAAACCTGCCTCTCCTCTATGTTAATTGTCACCTTGTCCCTCTGTTTATCGATTAAGTGACCATTGTTCTGAATTGACCTGTTCCTTCTCTGTATGCATGCCTGGCTGTGTGATGGCACAAGCAGAGCCAGCTGAGGCAACACTGCCACCCCATGGCCAGCACTCTGCCCCTCTGCACTGACTCCATCAAATCTTCTGAAGACGAACAGAAGACATCTTGTTTGTGTCTTCAGTTTTGTAACAGAGGAGGAAACTAAATAAGATGCAAGCATGTGCCACTTCGGAATCTTACCGAAAATAATTTTTTTCTTTTAAAGGAGCAGATGTGTTTAACTTTGCATTTTGCTGATTTTATATGAGTCAGTCAGCTTCAGCTCTGAGTCTTTGCAAGCTGCTCTTCCCTCTGCTCTAAGATGCACTGATATAACTGTGTGCTGTGATTGGTTGCCTTTTGCACTCTGAAAACTGCAACAGATGCTGTTTTGTTATATATCAATTCTTTTTATTTGAATCTTTTTCATCTGTATCCTTCGAAAACTAATGAACTTGATTTGTTAAATCCAAAAGCACCGTATTTATTTAAGTTCTGAATTGATCCAGTTTCTCTGACACCGCTGATTCTGACATAATCTAAAAACGTATTCTATACAAACGTTTGGTATATCAACTTTTTAAATGGTCATAAGGGGATGCTCCGTGGTGTGGAGGTTAAAACTAGAACATTACATCAAAGATGGTTACGTTCTTCAGAAACTGTTTGTTCTGCACTCAACATCAAACCCAAAGTTCATCAGTCTTGATAAATAATTTTTTTGTAATCTGCAAAAATGTATTCTGTTGTTGGTATCAGTCTAACCCATAATGTCCTTTTAGTGACAACCCCCAAAGAGAAACCCTGGTGGTTGATGTTCTCTCCACCCAAGCGTTATGTCCCTGTACTCCAGCTTTCTTCCACAGCACAAAATTTGAAGAAAATATAGTCTAAATGACCTTCACCTGTTTTGTGTAATTGTTTAAAGTTTTAACAGGGAGTTGAGGCATCCCCTATTAAGTCATTTGCTCGGTGTGACGACACCAATCTGCATATGTACAGAACCAAACTGAAACACTTTTTTTTTTATTCCATCATTTGACAATTGATCAAGATCAATTTCTTTTTTTGTTGTTGATTAGACTGTGCAGACAAACTGCTGATGCACAGCTGATGGATGTGGCACAGAGAAGGTGTCTCCAGGTTTTATATTTGGAGCAGCCATATGATTGTTGACAATCCAACTAATCTACATGAATATTTTATGACGACTCACTTCTGCAGAAACATGCTCAGTCCCTCTGGTCTCAGTAAAGAGCCTGCAGGGTGCACATGGATTATACATAAATTGCCCATCGGCAAATATTCTGAACATAACATGAATATTTTAATCAGCAGCACTGAGGAGTAACACAGTCATCGGGACATGGTGGAGTACAACAAAGCCAACAAGACAACCAAGAGCTATGAAACACTTTCGGAGTATTTTTAGCCACTGACTCTGGCAGTCTTGATATTACATTTTTAGGAACAGATATCTTTGATCGGACAAAAAGGTGAGGTGGCTAAAAATACCACAGTAAAATAGATTAAAAAGGAGGAAAATGAGAAAAGCGCTGAATGATTGGTCTGAACAACGATCAAAGAAAGCAAACAATGAAACAAAATATCCCCATGGAGCAATAGAAAGGTTGGTTTAGGTGTGTGTGAAATATAAGCATCAGGTCCACCGAGAAGTGATCAGTTTGCAGAAAAACAGTTCACAAAGAAAGGAAATATCTTCCATCATCTCTTTAATCTCTTGTATACATTTCTTGTCTCGTGACGACTTGGTGTTAATTGATTTTGCATATATATTTCAAAGATATTGGATGTTAATTTTGTTTGCAAAAATGTTATCAGAAATTTTCTTGGAAAATGTTATGGAAATTATTCCAAAAGAGAAACCATATAAGAACCTGAAACAGACACCCCAAAGTCTTCTCTCTGTCAAAGCTCATATAAAAGGGAGTGCTGCATCTTTCAGATTAAAGAGGAGAAGAACTGGCCAGCTATCTGTCCGTTCTCAGTTCAAGGACAGCATAACTAACGGTATGCAGGTGTATTTGTGCCAATGGCACGTGGAAATGGTAAACGCTCAAACGTGCATTTAGACTTCTGAACAATAGATGTGCCCATGTCCATTTTAAGTAAAGATATTACTAAACCACATATTGCATCTAGTTTAATAGCATAACTTTGGATCGGATGGGGTTGGGTGCTGGACTGCTCCTCCAAAAATAAAAATCCTTTTCCCCTGAAGAAAACATTTGCCACATCCTGAAACACAGGATAGGCACTTTGAAAAAGATGATCCTGGACTTTTGGGCATTTATATTCCACTCAGCATCCTAACCTTTCTGGAAACTGAGGACATTTCTCTTAATAATCCGGAAAAGTTAAGAATTACACAATTTGAATGCTTAATATTATGGATACATGGAAGATTACATGTCTTCAGAACTATTTTTCCTAGAAAATGCTCTGTCAGGTGTCTGACGATGACATTTTCCAAGAAGTCAGGGTCTTGGCAAATTAATGTCCAAAAAGATTTCTAAAAAGAAATCAGCTTTACTGTAATTTCCAGTAGAAAAATGCTTTATCACCAGTACCGAGTCAGCTTCATCAAGAAACATTTCATGCAGACTCATGAAATACTTGTCGTTTTCTGCTCGTCTGACAGCCGTGCTACTATAAAGAGTTGTAAAGTGAAGTCCGGGGACGCAGCATTTTACCTTACATGAACTGATGAAAATCAGCAGCTGCAGCACAAAAAGGACTTCGAGTAGACCCATCACTGTTCCTCTCTCTTCCTCCGGTCTCACTAGTCTTGATTCCCAAACTTGGCACGCAAAATGAAAAATTAAATATATGTAAATTCAGACGCGTCTCAAGTCTATACATAAGCCCAAAGGTTAAGGAGTAGAGTGCCTGAATCGCCTTCAGCTGTGGCAGAGGAGAACAGCCCTGACGTTGGCTGCAAATTGAGGAGAAGCACTTAGCCTAAACTGGATTCAGCAGCTGTCTTGGAGAATGTTTGATGAGAGGCATAGAGAAGGAGGGGTTGGAGAAATGGGTGATTATTTGTCATGTAACCGCATTACAGTGTGAACATGAAATCATTGTTTTGCCCCCATTTGCATTATGAAAAATTGATTGAAAACGTCAGAAGTCTTTGCGCTCACAGTTCTTTTTGGATACTGAAAACAAATCATCTTTGTAAAGACTGAGTGAGCTGTGAAAACGTACTGATAACACGGCCATTTCTGTTCTTACACTGACTTTTGGTGAATCAGTCATTAGTCATACATATTTACAGTTCTGCATCACAGATTATCTGTACAATCACAAATTGTCAATCTTTATTTTATACTGTCATCTTTATCTCCCAATCTGAAAACCTATTATTTAACTGATTAATTTAGCAGCGAAACATGAACTGCACTGCATTTGGTAACTTATTTTTACACTGACCCTTTTTTTTGTTTTTTTTTTGTTTTAAGCACAACACAACAGAGCACTAGGTACCATTATTATGTATGTAATGCTCAATGTTTGCCTATATCTTCACGTCATATACAGGAAAACTTCAATAATTCATTATGGGAAGATGGATTTCAGCTCATGTTTGCATCTACAGCTTGTGTCTGCTGCTTTGCCACGCACATTGCCACCTGCTCCCTGTTTCCTGTGAATTATCAAAGGGTCAGCTGTCCCAGAATAAAGTCAGTCAGGAAAGAAGTGGGTTTAAGGCAAGTAACAAGCAGCAAACTTCATATGTGGATTAAAATTGCTGCTTGGAAATTATATTTTTTTCCCCCTTTTACTGCTTTGTCAGAGTACAGCAGTGGCAATGATTGAATACTTAGAGAAAATTACAGTTTGACTGAAATTGATAAGAATCCATAAGAATCTTCCCATACATTCCAGTCATCTTTCTATCTATCCGTCCTTTTTTCCCGCCTATTCCTAGTAGGGTTGGGAGGGGCAGCAGCCTGTCCCAGCTGTCAGTGGGCGAGAGGCAGAATACACCCTGAACAGGATGCCACTCACACAGTTACATGTTCACCGTCTTTAAAGAATATCAGTTCCCAGAGTCTGCATACCATTTATTTATATCATATATCTTATCCTAAACTCATGAAATCTAAATTCACTCATGGTGTTGTTGGAATAAGATTGAAGTATTAAACTGTGCTTACACATTTTAGGTGTCAAAAAAGCACATTTTCACTTGTTTTAACACAATGTGAGGGCCTCTCACACCCTTTGTTATTTATAGATGGAAATTAGCAGCAAAATACCTCCTGATGCGCTAACTGTTCGTCCTCTTCCACTCTTTAGTTTCACCATCCTTGGAAGGGCTCCTAAAGCAGATGTTTTGTTAAACACAAGAGCAGGCAGAGAGGATGAATTATTGGGTTGAGATGAAGACGGGCTTGTTTGAGACAAAGAAAGACTGAAACGGAGAAAAGGAAGTATGAATGATGCATGATCCGGCTGCAGCAGACGCTGAATATAAAATGACTGGCACAATACATGTACAACCCTCACAATACATTTTTCTTGGCAAAAGGAACCGATCAGTGACTTAATCTCAATATAACTTCAGACCATTGATTTAGAATTTATGTTGAATCAAACTTGAGGACTATAAAGCAACAGCAAAAGGTTAGGGTACTAGTTTTTCATTTTTGCTTTAAACCATTTTTAAAACCCTAATTTGATGTGTTTTGCTCAATCATTAAATCTTTTAATCCTCCCAATTCTAACTAACATCTTGCTCCACCAGTATACTTTGGAAATGGTACAAATTACAGTTTTCTTGAACCTTTTTCCTAGTTTGACCTTTTGTTTCACAGTAAATGTGTTATGTTTTCTGTGTGCCTTTATAGATTTTTCTTGCCTTCAGTGTCAGTCTTGTATCTGTTTTTCTGATGATTTGCACAACATGTATTTCTCATTAGTCTTTATCCACGTATACTCTAACACTCCACAGTTTCATTTGCTTGCCATTCACTTGTGATGAAAAGTTTTGGCCTGCTCTGTATTGTTTCAGTGCCTATGTTGACTTTCTCACATGATCACACCTTAATTCTTTTTTTTGCAACAGCAGCAACATTTTATAGCCTCACTTCAAATTATGAAACCGCTCTCGTCAGCCATGTCGTCAGCCACAAACAGCTGAAGGCGCTCAAAATACAGCAATAATTAAAGCTACTTTGGCTTCCTGTTTACACTGGCAAAAAGCCAGAATAATACAAAAGTCATTCAGTTTTAAACCATGATGTTCCCAACTCAGCTGTAACCCATCCACTATTTAATGGGGAAAAGAATGAAGTAAAAGAAAATGCATAATTTAAAATTGGAAATGGGGATTTTTGTATAATTTCATGAAACTTGGTGGTTGGAAGCTAGCCTGATAAATCTGTTCCTTTTTTCAGGTTTGCTTGGATCAGTAATTGCACTCCAAAAAATGTCATGTTAAATGTACATTATGTACTTTTATTTAAATGTGTTCATCACCTGCCCACACAAATATGAACAGAAAGACCTTGAGGCAATCACGTACCACAGTTTGGTTCATAATATTGACACAATATAAAACATAGTTTCACATCATAGAAAAAATGCTCTGCACCAAATCCCCTTTACAAATAATTTTACTCACTAGGACCTACATAATAGCACCATGATGAATTATGCTGAAATGTACATCAGTCAGCTCAAACACTAAAACCATTTGTCTGTTGCTCTTTGGGGTCCCCTAAATCAGCCAAAGGGAATAGGCACTGGACCTCTGAGGGTGCTGTGTGGCAGGATGATGGCAGGACATTCTTCAGTTTCTGTGATTTGCTGTTTGGGGCTCCTGTGGCCCAGGTCTGTTCAACTATATCCCAGATGCTCAAAAAGAAATTGGAAACTTGATTTATTACAGCCACTCTGTCCAGATGTTCCTGAGTTATTTCTGAAGTGGCTACATTGATATGCTATAGTTGGGGAGTTCTGTTATCATGAAAAGGAAGGGGACCCATCGTTTTTCATAGGGACAGATTATCATGACAAAGAGGGTGAGTACAGTCGTTTGAGTCCCCCGTTAATGGTTTTACTGTTGTGGCTCATTGATGTAGACCACATAACATAGTTTTTACCACTAAATTACAGCATCGTACAAAACATAACAAAACAAGGGTTGACAATAAAAAACATGGTGTGTGTGTTGCTGAAGTACACTGAGGTTTTGTTGGGTTTAAGAAAGTATTTCATAATGTTTTGCGTGGGATTACGTGTATGGAGGAACTAAGTGCATCGACCGATAGCTGTATGAACGTACAGGAGAGAAACTGTGACAGGATCGAGTACTCCTTCAAAGAGGAAAAAAAAGTATGTGACTCAAGATAGGCTAACAGACAACGTGAGGGCTCAAACAGACTGCCTGTGAAGGTCCAAAAGAGCGGATATTTTGATGAGAGAACACTGTAGTAGACACATCAACTTATAAATATGTTTTTTGGAATGTCGTTTTCTCCCTGCATGTAAAAAGTGTCCATGGCTCTTCTTTGTATTAAATTACTCCTGCTGCTGGTCCTTCCGACAGCGTTAACCATTGAAGCAGACTGGACCAACTTGGAAACCGAATTTCTGGTTCGCTTTCCCGAAATCGGACACGGCTACATCGATGATGGGGAGTGTGTTGGACTGCGGAGCGTCAAACTCCAACAGCGTCCTCTCTTGGCCGGAGCGCGTCTGCAGCAGAGGATTAGAAGATAAAACGGCCGGGAGAGGAAGACGGGCGTGTTTGGGTCTCTGCGCGTGACTCACCTGACAGCCGTCGTACAGCGCGCTGATGTAATGTGCGTTCTCGTGCGTGAGCTCCTCCCCGTCGCTGCCTCTGAAGCGCAGGGCATGTTGGTGGCTGTAGGTAGCGGTGTGCAGCCAGGCAGCAGAGTTGAGGCAGTTGTAGGTGAAGGTCTGCTTAGCTGTGGCGCTCAGAAGCTTGAGGAAGGTCAACTGGACGATGTGAACTGAAACGCCATCTGACCCAGAGTAGGAAAACTAGAAGAGATCGCCAGAATCATGTATTTAATAGCAGTTAAAAGTCAGGATAAAGTGTGCTTAAACTAAAGACATTTGCATATACACAGCACTGAATAAAGCAGAATAAGAATAAAGATAACAGTTCAATAAAAGGAAGCAGAATAAACTAGTATCCTAACAGTGAACAAATCTTTTTAGTGTCAGGAAATACATGGGGGCTGAGGCTAATTATTTTCCAAGAACTTGATAAACCAGTAGCATGCATTGTCACGCCTGATATCTCCATGTCTCTCAAAGAATAAAGTGTACACACAACTCTGACAGCTCTCACAGGTCATTGTGTGACAGTTGTTATCATACAGTGTGTGGGTGAGGATGTTTTTTCAAAGACAACAAAAAAAAAACAAATTTGCCTTGTGGATTTGTCCTCTGAATATATCTAATTGGACCATTTATATTCCATGAGTGAAATCGAACCATCATTCATCCTGACAGCACTGCTACTACCTGAGCAAGAAACGATGACAGATCTATAAACCTGAGGTGTGGGCAGGTTGCAGTGATATAATAGAAATGGGGACAAAGTCCTCTCAAAATTCTTAAGAATGGACCAGCAGCCGTGTCCCTCAAGGCCGCCCACATCAATCCCTCTGCTACAGAAACATATATTCTGTCTCTTTGTTGCCTGGTGGCTCCTTCTAATACAATTCTTTGTGGGAAAAAACGTTTATTTCAAGTTTCTTTTTGCCTGTTTCTTCCAGATGGATCTCTCCTGGAGAACTGCTCCATTTTACCATTCAGACATCTAATAGCATTTTCCACTCATCGTGAACAGCATAAACGTTCTCAGTTTTGGAGGAAACTGAAATGTTTTTATTTAGATCTACTTCCTAATGTCATTTTAGCTGCTTTTGCTCCAAAGCAGACCAATGTGGTAATTTCCAGTCGGTAAACTTTCAGGGTGTAGTGGAAAATCTATCAGCCCCTCATGAAGCTTGGTGCTGTTTAACCAAACTGTTGTTACTTCTGAGTCATGGTCAACGCCCCTAAATCTAATAATGTCACTTTTTTTTCCTCCCGAGTATGATATCTAAAAACATCTATGAAATAATAAATGTATTATTTGAATATCACACCGTACCTGTTTTCCTTTCCTGAATTTACTGTACCAGGTGCCTGGCTTTTCCCCTTTCCAGGCTGCCAACTTTACCTGATGACGCACAAAAAAACACAAAGTACTCAAATCATGATTTTAAAAAACACATGATTTTTTTTTCTTTTCGCAAAGTTTGTATAAACTAACCGAATTGAACTTCTTGTCAGGGTACAGACATGTTTCTCCCTCTGCAGTGAAGTTACAGAACACCTTGAAAGAGTCTCTATGGCAACCCTGATTGGGATCTATCCAGTACTCACCTAGAGAGGAAGGGAAAGCAGAGAGCAGAACAGAGGACACAGAAATCCTTTAGGCTACTGGCGAGGTTGACAAAAAACTGGAAAATAAAATTAGATAGAGCTAATAAATTGCAAAACCAAACACAGGCACAGAGGTAATTGGTCTAAACATTTCAGAGACAAATAGATTTCTCGTCACAAATGCTACCATTGGGGAGCTCTGGGTGGAGGAGCCAGAGCTCTTTGCAGGTGCGGGCGGGGCTGTGGAATGTTCCCATTGGGTTACGCAGACCTTCTACTTCCACTTTCATAGAAGAAAGGGAAGCAAACACTTCTTCCATGCCTTGGCCCTCCTTATCCTTCATCCAACCGTTCTGCTCTGCCTGGTCCCCTTGTATCCATCCCTCCTCTCCATCTAAGTCCTCCCCCTCATTTTCAAGAGAAGCACCATCCACCACAGTGTGAGTTCTTCTTCTTCTTCCTCTCTCTGGAAGAGGTGCAATCCCAACTGCGGGCCGTCCCTAAATAGGTGTAGAGGAGTGGAGTTAAAACAAGCATTATGAATAAATAAAATCTGAATGTACTTATTTAAAAAATAACTCACTGGGGGTCCTGGAGGCCCTGCGGGTCCAATGTCTCCTCTGGGACCAATTGGGCCCTAAAAGAAGCAAAATCATTGTTTTGGGAGAACCATACATTTGTGTGAGTCCATAGCAATAGCACAGTAAAAAAAATCCAGCAATGTAATTAACATAGAAAATACCTGGTTTCCTTTTGAGCCCTTTAAACCTATGGCACCCTATGGAGTTCAAAAAGCAGACACAGGTTCAGCATGAATAAGCTTAAAACTATCTTTATCATAACAAATGTAAGATTTTTCTGTAGGATTCGTGCTGTGAAGATTGTTCTTTTTACTTACAGACAGGCCTGAGGGGCCAGGAGGGCCGGGGGGACCTTGGGGGCCAAATGGACCCTGGTATTACACAAAGAAAGAAAAGTGTCAGGTGAAAAAGGTGGAGCTCAATCCTGTGTTGTGAGAAAACCCACAGAGCATTTTACGGTTATAATACATGTAAATATCCTAAAATTGAGTTTAAAGTTTTGCAGATGTCAACATTTAGCTGAATAGACTGACTGAGATCTAATAATGAAGCAATTATTCACCACAATTGGGATAATAAATTCTGGGACTCACATTTTTCATAAGACATACATACTATAACATCAATGATTCTCACTGACAGCCTGTCAGTGGATTAGTTGGAGTTGTTGCTCATAGACCATTACGGCTTTTAATATTTATGTATTCAGCTGCTGCCTTTATGATGTCTGGAGGCATCTTGCTGTCAACAAACAGCCTGTGAAGTTCCCTGTTTATAATTCATGTAACAAATTAAATGCACTGTAAATCAAACGCAGGTTCCTCTTACCACATTTAGACTGCAAGAGAAAAATGAGTTTAGAAAAAATGTTCACACACTCTAATATTATCTATTTTGACAGGCTGAAGCTATAACCACATTTTCATCAGCTGGAAAGTACGGTAGGGGAACAGAAATATCAGCAACAAATCTAAAAATGGCATTACCACCAAGGACCATTACTGAGTCGGGTGAACAGTTCATTTGCTGTATGACTAGAGCTGTAATTTTGCAAAATCATGAAACATGACTCTTTACACTATTGTATTTAGCTGCTCCTGTATCAATGGGTCAGCAGAGAGAATGTACAGGTCCATATATTATTTCATGTCGAGCTCACAATTTATACACTCTACTTGTAAATAATACATTTTTAAAAAGGTTTGTGTGGTATAAAACACTAAAGAGCGTAGACAAGAGACTGAAGGGGGAACCAAAAGGATGGACTGGGTTTGCTTCCTACAAATGACATCAGATCCTTTTGGGCTGCCATCTGCCGCTATTACAAGTGGCTGATCTCCCCTGACTCACAGTTTTTTGTTGTGCCCATTCCAGGACGTTTTTGCAGACTCCACTGCTGTCCGGCTTTGGAAATCTGCCACTAAAGGTGTGTGCTGCCATTTACTTTCACATTTGTATATTAGGGACGTAGCTGATTCCAACTGCTGTAGATTTCTATATATATACTGTGTAGCATTTCCTGCTCTAGAATTCCTAGATGATGAACAATGCTCCACAAATCAATGGTGTGTTTTATCTTGGTCTGAAAAATAAAGCTAATATTAAAGAATCTACAAGTGTAATAACCAGTCCCAGTGGTCTGAAGTTTAAGAATTGTGCTCTGCGGTCAGGACTTAAAGAACATGAATGAATGTTTTCCCAAGATCCAGATGTGTGTTTGTGTGTATGAGTATCTGCGTATGCAGAGGTGTGTGCGTATGCTTAAGTGTATTTCACACCTCATCTCCTTTTGGACCTTGCAGTCCCTGGTTTCCTGGTAGTCCTCTGTCACCCTTCTCGCCAATATCTCCCGGTGGCCCTATCAGACCAATCAGACCACCATGCCCCTGCATTGATATTGTTAATGAAGTCAAACACAAATCCACAGTAATGTTCAGTGTAAAGGTTGGTGTTTAAATTGATCGCACCTTGTCTCCCTTCCTGCCAGGGTCCCCCTTTAATCCCAGTATGCCTGGTGGACCCTGAGGAGATGAAGTTATGATCATTTTAAACACAGGGAGATGGCGAAGGTTAACCTCAATGGAAAAGAAAGATTTCTGTCCTACCGTCAATAAACTCTTATCTTTTCTCTCAGATAAAAATTGAGAGAAGCATTCGGGGAAAGATTTTGTGTCAGGTCAAGATGAATGTCCACTTTTTTTTATTTTCTTTCCTTTTTTTTTCATAAGTGACTATCACTTATGAGGAGCTATAGTTCCATCTGTCACAAACCAACCGACTGTCTTTAGACAGTATTAAATTACTGCAACAATTACTCGTTTTTCCTCTGTGTCGATCATGATTTAAGTTGGACGTGTTCTTTTTTTAAATTCTAAATTGAATAAATGCACAAAAGTGTTAATTTTTCCTTTCAAGTCTCGCTTTTAATTCAATTTGTCTGAATAAGGACTAGCTCAATATTTAATCAAACCTAATAATCCTTTTTTTAATTAAGTTTTCATTTTTATACTTTGATTCTTGTTGGAAAAACTTATACATTTTGCAGAAGCATTGATTTTTGTAGTGGATGTTTCATTTAATTCTTTGGGTAATCTCACCATAGGGCCTGGTGGTCCTGTCTGGCCCGGTGGTCCATTTAAACCCTGTTCACCCTGTTAAAATACACAAAAAGACAAATGATTTTGCATTCATCTTGGTGTGCTTAAACCTCTTTCCTGTGCTTTTGCTGAATGCACTCACTGCAGGGCCAGGGATTCCTCTTAAACCCTGGGGACCATACTTCCCAGGATGGCCCTGAGCACCTATTGGCCCTGTTTTTCCAATAGGACCTTCCAGTCCAGGAGCCCCCTGAAGTGACAAAAAGAGAGTCATCCTCAGAAACTGTGAGGGTTAACAAGAGACTATTCAAAGGGATGTTTCTAACTCTTACCTTTGCTCCTTTCAAACCTGATTTCCCTTCCTTGCCTGCTTTGCCCAAGTGGCCCTGAGGAAAAATATATCAAAACAATTTTGATCACAATTGATTAAATGTAGAAAACATTTTGTTTGCCTTCCTTTAGTTTTGATAACAGCTTGTATTTACCATTCTTCAGTTTCAATAAGCTTGTACAATGTAATTTGTTTCCATGTACTGTTGCATTAGTTCTTCACCTGACTTGCACTGATGATGGGAGAATCAGATCACTTTGCAAAGAATAAGATTTGTACTCCATAGTAACCAGGACATGTGTCAAAGTATCACCTCACATGCCTTCCTTAACAGCTTTATGTGCAGGGTGAAAACTACTTATGTAAAAAGCTGTGAATCCTAATTTTTTAATATTTGGTAAATATAATCTAAAGTCTTTTTTTTTTTAAAACAGGCACTGTACTGACAAACTAGAGCAAAAGACACAAACCCTTCGACCAGGTGGGCCAGGTGGTCCAGGCTCTCCTGCTGCTCCTGGTGGCCCCTAAAAAAAGTAAAAGTATCAAGTTACATTGTCATTTAATTCTTTCATGTCAATGATTTTAAATTGTTAAAAGTGTATCAGTACGTAGGTTTGAATGGGAAACTCACAGATTTTCCAGGATCTCCTATGTCTCCTTTAGATCCAGGGAGCCCATCCACACCCTAGTGAGTGAAGGACAATAGTTAAACAGACAGACAATAACAAGAAGGAAGGAGGAATGATTAAATGCGGCCAGACACTCACATTGGGTCCAGCCTCTCCCTGCTGGCCAAGGTCACCTGTCAGACCTATTGGACCCTGTCAAAGAAAATAACTTGAGCTAGGACATCATTATGAGGACAATTTATGTATATAAAATGTTTTTTATCTTCTTGTGTTTGACATATTCTACATCTTTTTTGTTTTTTTTGCTTTTTCAGTTTTTGTTTGACAATTTACTGAATAATGGTCTAAATGATAAAACAAAAAAATATATTTTTTTATGAGCCTGTGTCCTTATAGATGTCCATGCCTTGCACTCTTAATCTAAGTTGGACAAAAATATGTTAAACTAATTAGGAGATTTAGGTCAGTTCAAAATATGTTTTCCCAGCTTGTTCAGTTTTGTTTTTGATCAAATAGTTTTAGAGCTTCAGAGTGGTTTTCATTATCCACATCACTTGATTTTTCTGAACTGATTAGCTGCTTTTGACCATATAATGAATAGAAATAAAACTTTGTGGAAGACTTTGATGTGCTCCGGCACCTCATTCGTTCAAGAAAAACAGTTGAACTACATCTTTATACATCAAAAATGTATTGTTGTTTGTACATAGACCTGTTTTAGCCAAACATTTAGTACTTGGCAAATTCAGTGGCACGTGAAAACTGAACCAAGATTGATTATGTAGTATATACTGTAACAAAGTTGTTTGTGTTGCATTGTTTTTAAAATGCTTTTGATATTAAGGTCTCTCACAGCATTGCCCTTGGCTCCATCTTCCCCTGGAGGACCTCTGGCTCCTGGAGGACCTGCTGCTCCTGAAGGGCCTGTGTCTCCCTTCTCCCCTTGGTCTCCTTTTCCTCCCTAAAGTATTGTATTGACAGAGTGAGTAAATATGAGGTGGGGATGACAATGAGTTTAAAGCTAGGCGTGGAATCAGACGAACAAACCCACCAGCTTTCCTGGCACACCAACTGGTCCAGGGTCACCTGCCTCCCCGTCCTCACCCTGAGAGGGACAGAAAACAAAGGATATCAGTTTAACAACACTGAAAGCCAGCATTTTTTTTATCTTAAATGTGTCTGGCACATTTTTACCTTCTCTCCAACAACACCTGGCTGTCCTATCATCCCTGGTCTCCCAGTTTGTCCCTGTGCGACAGATTGTAATTATTTTGGGAGAATTCAAAACAAGTTAATGAGGATAAGAGGACCTACTAAAATTAAGTTAGACTTACCAGTCCCCCAATAGGTCCCTGAGAACCAGATGGGCCTTGCTGTCCTGGTGGACCCTAAAACCATTTAATGAGGGCACATTGATTAATTTAATCATGAAAATGAATAGATATCAAATGCAATAATATTACATAACAACATTTAGGCTTTTATGAGCTCACCATTAGACCCAAGTGCCCACTCTCACCCTTTTCACCTGGTAAACCAGGCATTCCCTGGAAGAATGACAAAATTAAAGGATTAGACCAAAGAATTTGATATATCTATCTATATACTGTATATATATATTTAGAGACAGAGAGACAGCTAGATATAGTCTCCTAAAATTATTCCACTTCTAAAGTCTACGTTTCAAAGTCTAATTCTAACCTGTAATCCTGTGGGTCCTTTGGAGCCTTTAAATCCTCGTGTTCCCTCATCGCCCTTTGGGCCGTACATGCCCTGCTGGCCCCGAAGGCCCACCAGTCCATCGATACCCTGGTAACATTATTTCATTTTTGTTTAAATTGATTGTGTGTATGGCATTTATGGACGAAAAATGATGAATCCATGGGAGTGGCATAAAGGCCATCTTATTAGTAAAAATTAGTTTTATTGTAAGTTGGACTTTCTTACACCTTCTGTGGAAACATTATTTGCTTCCGTGCCAAGAGGTACATTAGAAGAATAAAACCTATGTGTATTGTAAAAATGAGGACAGAAATACTCACATCTTACCATACAATGACCTGTAGCTAATCGTTATTGTGAAGGTAGGCCAAAAATTGGACATAAAAGAGGCATCTTTCAACTCTGATAATAGTTGAAGATCATAAACAAAAAGCTTCTAATCCAACATTTCATTTTTGAGATGAACCAAACTCATACTCTGATGACCCAAGGTATTTTTCCTTTAGTGAAATAGAAATGATCTGGCAAATAGGAAACATAAATAGGAAACAGGGAAAAAACGGGGAGATAAAGACTCACTGGAAGTCCTGGCTGACCAATTGGACCCTGAGTGCCGGTGGGGCCGGCAGGGCCCTGTCAGAGAAGAGAGAAAAAAAGAAAGAGAGACAAATTTAAGATCAGAGCTGTCAGTATTATGGGGAACAGTCTATGCTGATGGACTTTGCAAACACTAGACTTACTCCTTCCCCTTTGTCTCCTTTGCTGCCTTTTTGTCCAGGTCCTCCCTGCTCACCCTGTAGATACACAAAAATACAAAACTTTATACAAGCTCCAACTCATCTTCTGGTCATCGAGCTCACTAAGAAACATATTTTTTGTGCTGATAAGTTACAGGCGATATGTGAAAAGACCTGTAATTTACCTTATCCCCATCATCTCCAGGAGGTCCTGCAGGACCTGTAGCTCCAGGCATTCCAACTGGTCCTTGATCTCCATCTTGGCCTGCTGGTCCAATGGGACCTTTCTCTCCCTAAAACAAATTATTCCCTGATTTAATATGTGTTGTTTGCACTTATACACACATAAACATGTAATAATTAGTTTAAAAAGTGCTACATTAGTCACTTAATGCCTGCATCCCTAATGCAATGGACTATTTAAAAGTTGTGTGATGTGACTAGAAACTAAGTAAATCCAAGCTCCAGACGTTAGCAAAGAAATGAAAAAAAAAGTTGAATTTACAGGCTCCCCCTTTTCTCCCATTGGTCCAGGTCCTCCAATTGCTCCGGGCCGACCTGGTTGTCCGATGGCACCTGCAGCTCCTGGAGGGCCCCTCTCACCTGTCGGTCCCTAAAGACATAACAGTCATCTTCAAATGTCTTAATGAATACTAAGGTAATAAAATGTAAAAATACATATTTAAACAGCTGCTGATATTGTTGATCATTGTATGATACCACAGGAGTTTCAAATTAAATGGTAAAATAAAACTACCAGTCAAAGTAAAAAACATTGCAAACCATTAAAACCACTTACTTAATATGGACTGCATAAGCTAAAATACGATACTTATATTGGACTATGACTTACAATGGCTCCTGCAGAGCCACCAGGTCCCGATCCTCCTTTCAGACCAGGCGGTCCCTGTGAATATCACAGTTCACAGTCTATTTCTTTTTTCTTCTTTTTTTTTAATCAAGATATTCATCTGCACTTCTTGTCATTTTCTGTTACCATAACTCCTGGAGCCCCTCTGCTCCCTCTAAAGCCTTTCAGTCCTGGAGGACCATTTTTCCCTGGTGTCCCAGGTAAACCAGGATCTCCCTTATGGGAAAAAAAACATTGAATACATTAAAACATAAGTACTGATGCAGTGGTGCAATATTCACTGATGTCTTGTGTTTGTTGACTGACCTTTCCACCCTCTTTTCCTGCAGACCCAGGTAAACCATGCTCTCCAGGTACACCTGGTGCTCCTGGGTGACCTCGGTCTCCTGTTGGGCCAGATTCCCCCGATTTACCCTGAAACACACCCAAAAAATATACTGTGGGACTTAAGCTAATGAAATATGATTTAAGAGAGGAAAAGATAGACCACTGTAGTACAATTCGCACATAATGAACCTTACCTGTGGTCCTACAACACCTGAGGGTCCGGGAGGTCCCGTCTTTCCTTGGAATCCCTATTATTAAACAAAAGATAATCCCATTAACAACGATCATATCAAGAGCAGATTGAAGGCTTTTTGGGTTAGGAAACAAGTGGTAAAAGTTAGTGCCGGGTCAACATTGAAAAGAAGTAAATGCAGCTTCCTTAGAATGACGCCTGTACGAGCTGGCCGTATTAATGTCTCACTCACCGCCTCTCCTCTTTGACCTGGGTGTCCTGGAAGGCCATCCTTTCCAGCTGGGCCCTACAAACACAAACGCATGTGCAGCAAGACCAAGGGAACAAGCAGTGCCTCATGCGTAACAGATAAGGGGACCAAAAATAGTCTGCTTCCATCACAACCTACTTCCATTTCATTACCTGAATTATCAGAATGGAAGTAAGGTGCAAACATCTTGCAAAATGGGCAAGAAGAAATAAAGAAATGTAGCTTCACACAGTCAGAACTATTCTGACTATCTTGTTGTAACGATGGTTTCAAAAAAGTCAAGCAGCTATAAACCTTCAAAGATTCTGACGACAAAGTGTGTTTATCATTTAGAGCTTCAAGTGATCTCTTAGGCAACATTCAGGCTCTTCACGGATACTTTGTAACTAAATCACGGACTTGGTTTCAACTTTGGGTTTGGTCTTTCTCCCCAAAAGAAGATGAAAAGCTAGAATGTTTAAGTGTCTTGATTCAGATTCAAGACTAATGTATTAAGTGAATTTCATACTGATTAATAAGGTAAAGGTGTGTATATGTAGTGCATCTTAATGTGGATGACTCTGTGAAGCTTGTTTCACTCACACTTGTTCCTTTAGGTCCCGGTTCACCATTTCTTCCTTGCGGCCCTTGAGGTCCCTGAAAACCCACACCCAGCCAATAAAAAACTGGATCAAACATCATCCGATTGACACATTTATTTTTTTACCTGTATCTTAAGAGTTTTTTTCATACCCTTTCTCCAGAGGATCCTGAAGGACCATCATGGCCTGAGGCACCCTGTGAAGAATTGAGAGGGATGGCAGAGTGAGAGCAGTGGTGTATAAAAGTGCAGAATCCCTGCTAACAGTGATCATATGTTGCTCTTTTCTGGGATGAGACAGCTGACCTTTTCTCCTGGTTTCCCAGTCGGCCCTCTAGCCCCTCTGCCTCCCCTTGCACCCTGGCAGAGAAGACACACATGAAACCAAACCCAGAACTATTTGTTGAATTTGTGCTGAGGTGTGCAGGCAGTGTAGAGAAGCTATTCTATGTTCTGAAAGTATCCATGCAACAAATATAATTTGTTACACTGTAAAAGCTTTTCAGAAGTTGTGAATGAATATTAACATCTAACGTTATCTAAATAGCGCAAATAATGAAAGTAAATTCTAAAGTCTAAATTGATGCCAAATGAGAGGACTGAACTTTGTGCATGGATCTGAACTTTGGCTGATATGTGTAAAACTATGTCAGTAATCGTGAACTCACATTTGGACCCCTTTGGCCACCACCTCCAGGTTGTCCTGCAGGACCCTAAATTTGGAAAGCATTTTATAAAATCATATGATGTGCTGGCAAATAATTGTGAGTGAAGTGTGTACTAAATTTGACTCACTTTCTTCCCCTTTTCTCCTGCAGCTCCCAGCACACCAGGAAAACCATCAGAACCCTACAAAGGAAAACATTTTAAATCAATGCATTTTCTTTGTTGATTGGCTTGGCTTATTTGCTTTTACTAGCACTATAATTTGTCTACTTTTATTTAATGAAACTCTTATTATTTATTTTTTCTCACCTTTGGCCCCTGTCTCCCTGGATAACCTGGAAGTCCTGGAACACCCAGTTTACCCTAAACATACAGACAACATGAGATTCAGAACTTTCAGACCACAACAATTTAATTTGATTAGTTGAGTACCTTCTCTCCGGCAGTACCAGAAGACCCAGGCTCTCCCTGCGAACCCATCTGGCCTTTGGGCCCCTCAGGTCCATCTTCACCTCGGCCCCCAATAGCTCCATTGTCCCCAACATCCCCCTTTGAGCCCATCTCCCCCTTGGCCCCTGGAAAACCATCTTCCCCCTGTAAAGACAAAAAAGGAGAAAAGAGAAGAAAAAACAACAACAAATATTTTAAATAAAGATCATGTAACCGTTTATGAAAAATATTCTGAGTGTTGACTGACTGTAGCATTTCAGTTTTTTACCTTCTCGCCTTTGCTCCCTTTTAATCCCCTGATTCCATCTGCTCCCTGTTAAATTTGAACGTACATAATAAAAACTTGATGTCACAAAAATGGAAAGAGAACATTAAAAAAACATAACTCCAGTGGCTGATTCTGATGTGACCATGTGCCAGGAGGCCCATACACCTTTCAGCATGAGGACATCATAATTTAAGTCGAATAAAATATAATTTCATTCACTATGTGTGAAATTGACTCGATCCATACAAATTTTCACCCTAATTGTCTTTTCTACCTTAACTCCTCGCTGTCCAGGGTATCCAACAGGTCCCTGTACTCCTGGAGGACCCTAACAATGAATAAACACAAATTGTGATCAATAACCTTATTGTATGCTGTAATGACATCAAAAGCCCACTGTAGACTTACTGGCAATCCTTTTTCTCCTGGAGTACCTTCTCTCCCAGGGTGACCCTGTTGACAAAGAGACATGTTAATGTCTGCACTCAGGCATCTAAAAGTAATAGTGAGGCTTGTATCAAAGTCTAAGGAATGCATTATGTCAGTGAAGAACCTTTTCAGATATGTATGGAAGTACAGCCAATGTGTACTTACTGGGGGCCCATCATTTCCAGGTAAACCACGCATCCCTTTCTTCCCTTGAGGCCCCTGAAAGACAAAGAACAGTGAATTAGTTGAGACTCTTTAATACAAAGCTGAAAACATTAAAAGTGGCTTTCTTACCTTTTCACCTGGCAGTCCAACTAATCCCTGAGGACCAGGAAAACCCTACAGAAAGGATGTTGAATTAGTACTGAAACTGAGTTACATAAGCTTTAGTTAGTGCTGTTTGTGTTTTCTGCTCATACCAAGATCCCAGGGTTGCCTTGCTGTCCAGGTGCCCCGGTGTCTCCTGGCGCTCCCTGTTACAGAAAATAAATAATGCATGGGGTACACATTTTTTATGTGGCTGTCATGTCAGTTATTTATTATACTCACTATGTTTCCCTTTGAACCTTGAGCCCCATCGATTCCTCGAATTCCCTGAAAGCAGAGACAATGACATTTAAAGAAAGGCATGCATTTATTCTGCCTTCTTAAAAGCACTTAATCGGCCTCTGTTATAAAACATTAAAGAGAGCACAAGGACATTTTTTCCGTTTAGGACATTAAAGTAGGATGATATGTTTTTTTCTTTACTGTCAAACAGAAAGCTTCAAGCTCCATCAAGCATGTCCAGATAATACATGCTTTCATGTGGTGGATTTACTTGTCATATAAACCTTCAGTTACAACAACATTTAGTTAACTAACAACAGAACAGCATTGCATTGCCCAGTACAATAATGGAAAGTGTTAAAGCCCCCATGGAACTACACCTAAATGAAATTTAAACGATCTTTCACACTGGTGTAAATATTCTGCCTCATTGCCCGAGAGTTTAGTTTGCTTAATGAACCAATGTAAAGCATGAATATGTCATTTAACAATAGAAACTGTGTTTTCAAGTGCTAAAGAGAGCAAACTTGTGTTGCTACAAATGCAAACATCCATTAGAAATAACTGAGAGAAACTCCTCCAGGCGCGTAAAGTCATTTTGTTTGATGAGATAAGAATGGCACAATGTCATGTAAACAAATTAAGAACCAACCAAACCAAACAAATGAGATTGTATCATGCCGAATAGCCAAATAGACCACAGTGTTCATGTTCGAGGGCAGAAGAAACACAGGGTTCAAACGCGGCTGTGACACAAAACAGAGAGGAAAAGAAATGTTCTGGCTCTTTTTTGCTAATGGAAGCTGGCTCTACACAACATAGTTCATGTTACCAAAGGCTGTTGCAGCCCAGACTTTCAGCTGCATGGATGGTCAGCCGCTGAAAGACTGAATCAACAAAGAAAAGAGCTGACTAATGCACAATGTTGCAATGGGAAATTTGACATCATTGCTTTTGATAAATCAGCTTTGATATTTTTCCAAGTTTTGGGTTATTTAGATTTGAAAAAATAATAATCTCTTCAGTGTTGTTCTGAAGGTATTTTTAACTTGGCTCAGCCATTAGGAAAATTTCTGGTTCTCAAAACTGAGAACATCTACTGCTTTCAGCGGTGAATGTTAAGTATGCGTGTGGAAAAAGTAGGAAACATAAGGTTCAAACTTACCGGCTGGCCTGGGGGTCCAGGACGACCTCTGGGGCCATTGAGACCTCTGGGACCCTTGAATACATTTCACAGTGATAAGTAATGGAATATAACTGTAAGCAAGTGAGCTTATGTTCATATATGCATTAATCTTTGTGATGCCTCATGATCTATGACATTCCAGGAAATCTGGACATTTTGCCCAGTCCCTACTTCTATTAATCTATGCATAAGTCAAGATTGTACAATAAGGTTAAGATTTGGATTCCATGAGGAGCCAGGAAAAAAAGAAACCTGGCATGGAACTGTTTTTTATACGTATATTTAAGTATGTTTAGACAAAAAGCCTAATCTTCTGATAAAATGGATAAAATGTATATATAAATTTAAAGCAATGTAGGAACATCTTATTCTGAATGTAAAAACTCACAGCATCCCCTGGCTGTCCTCTTGGCCCAGGTGGGCCCTCAGAACCCTATAGAAATAACACAAGCAACCATAAACACCTTTATACAGAACCATTTAGATGTACACAAACTGCCATGACCTCTCACCTTTTCCCCGGGCTCTCCTGTAGGACCCGCAGAGCCTGGCTTCCCTCTGTCTCCCTGGAAAATTGCACACTTGAAAGTTGATGGCTGAATTATCAACTCGAAAATACCCTACTATCAGGCAGATAACTTACCTTATGTCCCTTGTTCCCAGGGAGACCAGGCAAACCATCAAAGCCCCTATCCCCCTGAGAAAAACAATAAAAAGGGTATCATATAGTTATTGTCATTTATCAGATAGTTTGGCTTTATAAAGACATAAAAGAAAGTAAGTGAAATGTGAGACTGTGATTTTCACCTTTGTCCCAGTCTCCCCTATTGCACCACGGCCCCCATCTGCACCTGCTCGACCCTAAAAAACACACAAATAGACAAACTGAGTTACTCTGAGAAATTCTACTTTAGTACCAAATAAGATGGCACTTATTGAGAGTAAGCTCCAAAAAACAGTCTCACCCGTTTCCCAGGGCGTCCATTCTGACCCGGTATACCTGTCAGGCCTGGAGGGCCCTGGCGTTAAAGGTGAGACAAAAGTGTGTGATATATCTGAAGGTAAGCTAAAAAGTCCAGCTAGTTCTCAGATTGTTGTCATTTGAAGAAAGTGTGACCATGAGCTCACTTACTGCTGGTCCCATATCACCACTTGTCCCCTTCAGCCCTGAAGGACCTGGGTTACCCTAAAGAAAAAAATAAAAAACAATATTTCTTCATAAAGATAATAAACGTTTTCACATTTGAGCTTTCCAATAACAGTGTCAGTAAAATAGAAATGTTTCGGCAGGCTTTTGTGGGCCAATGTATTGAAAAAAAGTTTATTTTAGAAGGAGACTTAAATATAAGTTTGAAAAAGTGGAAAAGTTAGAATTGATGACTTTTGTGAAATGTCAAAATCCAACAACACTTTTAATGTTTTACATCTACGCATATATTCAAGAACTAAAAAAGACTTTTAACTATTTCCTGAAATATAATGATGCAGTAACATAAATTATTTAAAAAATATACACATCAAAAATTTAACAAGACATTTTGCATATGCTCACTCACCAGAGGACCAGGTCGTCCTCTGAGACCCAGTGGCCCCGGAGGCCCCTTCATAGCCAGCTAGAGGGAGATGCATGAAAGAATAAGGAAGGGTCAAGTAAGATGCATTAATCTTGTGTCACAAAAATCCAACTTTAATTAATTTTGATTAATTAATGTCAAAGGGCTGTGTCATTTGCAGGTGTGTGCACCTTGGTCTGCTGGAGGATAGCCTGAGCCTGAGCCTCCTGTGCAGAAACCACAGCGCCTGTCCTTGGATCGCCGCCTGACTGGAACTGCAGACAGAAGAACACAACAGCTCCAAAGTTAAACTCAATGCTCCACCTAGCGGCCATTCGTCTGTACTGCCTGTCAAGTTATGCTAATGAGACACACATGAGAACTAAATCAAAGGAAAAAACTACATAGAAAATCAGAGAACAAACATTAGATGCTTAATGCTTCCACACAGAAGTCAGAGTGTTGAAGCAATGTGAATATTATGAGACTCCTAACACACTGATCCAAGCCAGATCATTTAAAATTGAAAGAGAATAACATAATCAGTTACACATGTATCACATTTAAAACATTTTCCACATTCTGAAACATGATGTCAGGAGAGATTCTAAGACAAATGGTCCATTTGTGCAACAATATCCCGCCAGACTATTTCTCAGAATTGTCATTCAAACGCCCCATTCGCCCTCAGGCTGTGTTCAAATGACTCCTGCAGCTACATAAGAGCAGCTTTTAAGGCCTGTGGGAACTTGGAGGTTTCTTTCAGTCACCGGTATGAGCATGATGTTTCCTGGGGGACCTGGTATGCCGTCAGCTCCACTAAGGCCTGGTCGCCCTGGAGGCCCCTGGCAACAGAGAGATGAGGACAGTTAAGGAAATAATCTGCATGCTCAACCTTTCACGCAAAATCGAGGGCATTCCTCACCAGCTCTCCGGGGTCTCCTCGAGGACCCACAGGACCAGTGATTCCAGGGGGCCCTGGCTCCCCCTGCAAACACACCAAAACAAACAATGAGGAAAATATCCTTTGAGAAATTAGTAGTCATTAAACATTTCTACTGTCAATGCAGTTGTTGTTTTGATAGAATTTTACATAAACAACTTGTTTACAATGGAAAAATATGTTTCCAGTTACGAGTCATGCAGTAATCATCATTTACCTCAGGTCCTGGAGGCCCATATGGTCCTGTGATCTGTGTTCCCTACAAAATGTTAGAAAAAAAGCTTGTTTTTGTGGTTTTCCTGAGAATGTGTAGCTATTCAAACCAGTCAAACAATACTGTTTTTGGTACCAGCACCAGTCGGTAATGGAACCCTTGGTGCTTTTTGATTGTACTTTTCTCACCGTTCCCAGATTGCCTGGCTCTCCTTTCTCTCCTTTTTCAGGCAGATTCTGATGAAAGAAAATGGTAGAGAAATAAAAACCACCGTTAATGTGTTTGATTCATGTCCAAAGAAATACAACCATGATGTCACAGTTTTAACGGCACCTGTGTGTCAAGACCATACTCCCGTTCTCTCTCAGCTGGGCCATACCGCTCATCATATTCGTCCTCATATTCATATTCATTCTCATGGTAGTAATGTGTTGAGTTGTCATAGTCTTCATACTCCACGATCTGTCCAACAAACAAGCAGAGATACAAAGATGAAGAATGAGACAAGAAAGATCACACACAGTCCAAACTTCTCTCGCTCCTCTCTGAGTCTCACCTCATAGTCAGTGACATTAGGACCAACAGTAACCGAAACAGAGAAGTCTTCGTCGTTGTCGCTATAGTCAAATTCCTCAAATTCTTCAACCACATGTTTCTTTGGTGTTCTCTCCACCTGAAGACCACGAGCGAACAGAAAAAATGAAAACAGAAAATATCTTCAAACAGCTGAATTTAATCTCAATACCAAACAGAAAATGTAAGACTCAAATTGTGAACACATGACTGCCACATGGAAAGAAATAAGTGAAATGAAAAGTGTAGTTTGCTCATCTCACAAGCGAAGCGCTTAGCTTACTTTTGCGTATTTGATTGATGAAGGTTCAGACATATAGATGAGCGAAGCTCCATTAATAAATCTGTGCCACACTGGACACCAGATGGGAGGCATGCAGAAATTCAAAGGTGATCGAAATAATTATTTTTTCTTGGTAAAAATAGATCTGATTTTGACCTTTTAAACATTAGTTGGTGGCAATATGAGAATATATGTGTTTGAGTGAGACTTATAACATTGGGGGCCCTTACCTGACATCATCTAACTCATGCCATATATATTAGATACTATGAAATTACTGGCCTGGGTAGCTGGAGTTTACTTAAACTAAATATAACTATTTAGTTTAAGTAAATGGTTCAGGTTTTTCTTTTTTCTGAAATGTAACTCACCTCCTCAGCCTCTGTCAGTATGTTGTCATAAGGTAAAGGTGCGTCGCAGTCTGGTATGTAGTCCTGACAGTACGTCTCTGCGGCTCTGGGGTCATCAACAAGCAGCAGCTGCTGGATTTCTCCCTTTTTCAAAGCAGCACACACAAACAAAACCCTGAAAATAATTGGCTCTACAATAGTCGTCAGGAATGCGCAAAGCGTGAAATCACATCACAGATGTCATCACTGGTCACAACTGTACAACATGGCATTCGTCTAATCAATGGCATGGCACATCCATGTGTTTCACATGTCTTTGATTTGGTTCATTTAGTCAGATCAAAGTGGCTCAACATGCTGTTTTTATCGCAGCTCAGCAGTTAATCGTCTCCAGAGTCGGAGTCTCAAGTGGCGCCAGCACATTACATCCACAGACAGTTAGAAACTCTTCCTCCTTCGCTCTCTGTTTTAGACATGCACTCACACATTAGGAAGTCAAAGCCAAATACAGCCAGGAGCTTTTTAGTTATACAGATGGCCCACCTGGCATAACAAAGGTCACAGACTGCAATGGAGGTCTGTCAAAATGACCTCAGAGACTAGAAAAAAAAGAAAGAAAGAAAGAAAAAAAACGGTGCCGAAACCAAACATACACAACCACAAATCAGGAGATCTTTTAAGGTCTTAATATGTATTATCATCCATGAAATGTCCAAAGTTGCATGAAGAGTTTTGAATAAATAAGGGCGATGCACTGAATCCCCACAACCACTTGAGGGTGATGTAGGGAGATAGGCCTTTGTTACTTTTTATGTATTTTATAGAGAAATTTGAAATAACCACAAACACTTTTGGAAGAAGTGAATAAAAGTCTAAAAGAAAATAATTATAAGTTTTGATATATGTCATAAAAAGACCTATATTCCAAATATTATATTCACATGGGTTTAAGTGTGGGTTAAAAAACAGAAAATGTCTCTTTGTCAATTTATTTACCAATAAAACTTTTTTCATACCTATTAATGATCAATGTAGGGGGTTTAGAATTAGAATCAGGTGTTTTCAGTTAATGGGATGACTACCAGATGTGGAAGGGTACCATGTTTTACTTAGAGATTTAAAGTCTGATCCTCACCGCACATATTTGGGAAACTGTATTATGGCGCAAAAAAGGAAATTTAAGAGCACCTCAAAAAATGTTGTTGATTCTCATCAGGATGGAGAAGGTTTTGAACAAAACTAAACCACTAATTAGTTTTATACAAATGGTAGAAAATTCAAGAGGACTGCTATTGTCCAAAAGATCCCTCCAACACTAAGGATGGTCATAGTCATGCCCAATACATTTCTTTGATTGACTCTTGCAAATTCAAGAAAGACAAAACAGCACAGGCTAATTCCTATTCAAGCAAAGACCATTCTAACTCCAGTCAGTGTCAGCATTCATGAATCCCAACCAGAAAAATAATTAAGAGTTGTGTGCTGCAGCAAGACTGATTCCTGATTAGAAATATGAAGTTTAGTTTGGAGGAACAAAAAAACATTACTCTATCCACTGTGATTTTATGGATGATGGCTTCTCATAATTTGTTCAAATTTTAAATGAAAATATCTAGTCATCTGTCAGAAAATAGCAGTTCACAAGAACAGGTCTGTTAAAACTTTCTTTTACCATTCAACAGTTTGATAAGAATAAAATTGGTGTATGGAGTGGTGAAGTAGGTGGTTTGGTGTTACAGCAGGGTTTCTGGTTTGAATCTCAGCTGGGGTGTTTCTCCCAGTGCATTGAAGAGCCTCTTCCCATCATGGATAAAATACCTCTGTTCTTCCATTTTCTCCATGATTTGCGACTTTGTCAAATTCAAATATGGTTATACTTGACAAAATTAATGGTATGTTGAGAGCCTTCGATTTAGGCCTACCTCAAAAACATCCTCATCCAGCAAACGAGTCCCAAACACGGTCACACCCTCAGTGCTGACGTGGGGATCGGGACCTCTGAGCAGGTCCAACGTGTCCACCTTCTCACAGTCCAGGTAGAGAGTCACTGACTGCCCCTCCACACTGTAGGCCACTCTGTGCCACCTGGCAACAGGGAAAACCATGAAGGTTTTACCTCTGTTCTCATATATTTTGGGCACTGGATTAAGAGTGTTTTTCATAAAGAATATTTTGAAGCATACACAAATCTCAACACCTATAAAATCTGTATCTGTCTATTCAGAACTACAGATAAGTACAGATATATGTAAAAATATAACAAATGAATGAAAAAATGGTGTGTATATAGGTGACTTTGTACGTGCAGTTACCCACTTGCCATCAGCCAAGTTGATCTTTCTAAAGGTGGGGTAAAGCTCTGGAGAAGGCTGACCCTCATGGTCTTCATACAGGAATACAGGAGAGCGAGCGATCTCCAAACCCAGCTGTTGTGTGCCCTGATGATACAGATACAGAATAATAATTAACTGAAAAAAGCAAAGATTATTTACATGCGTTTTCACCAGTGGGTTTCAGCATACTGTCGCTCACCTGGGTGTCATACAGGGAGAGGAGAAAAACCTGTGACCCTTTCACAGCTTTAACCGTCGTCATCAGTGAGAAATCCACAGGAAATGGCAACTCTGGAAGGGATGCACAAAGCAAGCAGAAAAAAGCCTGTGGAAGTCTGACTCTAAATCATGGATGAGTCAACAGTTCACAAAGAATGACATCAAAACTCACCAGGGAAGAGTTGCTTGGTGGGAGCACTCAGTTGAATCTTCTTGTTGATTTTAAAGGAGAGGTCTGTCTCTTCTCGTCCCTTCCTGCTGGTGCACAGTCCTGCTTCCAGTGACACACCCTCCATGTCTTCTGATAGCCCCAGGACCTTCAGGACATCAATGGGATTGGCTGAAAATGAAACACAACACAGTGACTGACAAGCTCCGGAGGTTTACATGTGAATTGATTTGTCTCGGATATCAGGGCAGTTTTGTATGATTCTGATCTTTTAGTTTCTAGGATGAGACTCGAATAGGGTTGTTTATGTGCATGTTAATTCTCTGATGGTTTGGGGGCTGCTACTGGAAGGGCTAATGTTTTGGATTAGTTTTATCAATCAAAATGTGCTACTACCATCTCCACAAGTAGCTGGTTCAGCAATTGCTGGTGCCTCTGCAACAGCAAAAATGTGTGAAAAGTCCCCCTATTTTAAGAAAAAAGCGTACACCTTTTTTGACAAATGCATCAGTAAAATTATATTGCATACTTCTGAAGAGGGAGCAAGAAATAATGAATGGTAGAGAGGAGGGCATGCCTCTACTGGTGTGGCTTCTTTTAGCACGTATTTCTGAGGCTTACGTAAACCCTCCATCTGCCTTATACCTTTACACACACACACAAATATGTAGGCACAAAATAGGTAGGCAAAATTTAAGAGTGTTGGTTCTAGATGTAGATGTTGCACTTCATTTTCATTTGATCTATTTGCCCCCCTGGCATACTGTCAGCTTGTAATTTTGTCTGACAGGAGCTTGGCTTCATATATTTGCAGATAAAATTAATGCTTTCAAGACTTGCTATTGATTTTTGTTTCTTTATGAGCTGATAGATGTCTGTAAAACGTTGACATTTTGATGATTTCCCCGGTAGCTTTTTGCTCTGGTTGCAAACTGTTTCTCCACAGTTGGTATTTTTATGAAAGGAACAGGAGAGCAAAGCAAATGTTTCTTTAACTCTCGTCTGCACTTTACATGGAGATGCACTTTTCCTGTTGGTTGATACATATAAAATTATACTGTAGCTGGAGTTACACATAGTTACATGTATTACATTTCAGAAAAAATAATAAATGGGTTACCTTTATAAGAATTTTTGTGTGTGTACGTGTGTTCATGGGTTTAGATGTAGTTTCACAAACTTCTAATCATTTACATTGTTTACAGCTTAAATGTATTGACCTAAAGCATTTTTCTTTAATCAAAAACACACATATTGATATTAGGAAAATAGCATAATAGAAATATACTATTCTCTTTTATGTCTAAACAGAAAATTTCTGTGAAATTAAAGATCCATAGCGTAAAACACCAAGAAAAAAACTTTGTTCATGTAGCAGTGATAAACCATGTGAATGGTTCTAAATGTCAACATTATTCTTTTTCCGCAGACATCATGTACATTCATAAGTTAGCAATAAATTAAACAGGGATTAGATACTAGTATGACCAGCTGTTAACATTTTTTTGTAGAGCCATAACTCGGCTGGGGGGTAAATCATGATATGTACAAATTGTAGAGCCCCTGCCCCTAAAGCTCACCGGCAATGCGTATAAGAAAATGGCTTTCAATCAAACATACCAATGGACGAGCAGAAATGACAGGTGAATGTACCAAAGGACAAGACAAGACATGGAAATTTAGTTCTTTCTTTATATACACATAAAAAAGCACAAACTAATGTTTCCTTTTGTTGCTAATGCATGAATAAGCTATGGTTTAAACCAACACCCTCACATGCACAAGTATATATGTTCCATTGTCCACACACACACACACACACACACACACACACACACACACACACACAC